GCTTAACAGAATCCTGTCATGATTATATGGAATGACATTTGGAGGAGTCCAAATAATTGGTGAGTAGCCCGTGAAGCCCGAAAGTATGTTCCGTGTATATCCTCCAAACAATGGTGTCACTAGGAAATTATCCACACATACTAAAAACATGGTGGGCCTTCCATATTAATAATTGGTGGTTTTCGTATTATCCATATTGATATATTAATAATCCGCCATTAATATTCCTATTATCCATATAAATATTATCCATATTAATAGTAGTAACCGTAGGTTTTATTTTTTTTTACTGGAGGATGATGGGTGTGGCACCCGAGCCTTGGATTTTTGCAGAGCCGAGCCTTGGTGATCTTACGATGTCCGAGCCATGTGCTTCTTGGATGTCCCACATGGTGGGATAGCAAATGGTTTTAACATTGTTACAACCCATATATGTGACAAGCAAGCCTCCAGTTGGAGACATATCAGTTGTCACACTGATAAGAACAGATACTAGGATTCGTTTAACACTTTCTTTGGTTTGGGTTACATTTTAGGGGTTATTGAGGCTGATTTTTTTATGTTTGGTTGAATTAAGGGTTTTGTCTTCAAAATGTTGTACGGCACGAAGCGCCACCAAAACACAAAAGGACCAAAGGACCAGAAGACCAGAGGACCAAGGGACCGGAGGACCAAGGGACCAGAGGACCAAGGGACCAGAGGACCAAGGGACTAAAAGACCAAGGGGCCAGAGGACCAAGGGACCAGGAGTAGGATAGATTTTTTTCGTGCATGGATGGCACTGGCCGGTCGTGGCCGGGTGGCCGTGGCCGGGTGGCCGGGTGGCCGTGGCCGCGTGGCCGGGTGGCCGTGGTCGTGGCCGGGTGGCCCCGGGTGGCCGTGGCCGTGGCCGTGGCCGTGCCGTGGCCGGGATGGCCGGCAACTAAAAAACTATTGTCACCAGACGACCCAGGGAGAGGACTGAAGGACCGGGAGGCTCGAGGACCGCAAAATTTAAAAATTGCATTAAGGGTTAAAACACTGCACCAGAGCAGTATGTTTTTTTTGATCCCTTAAAACTTAAAAGTTCACGTTCATACTGCATGCCTGTGGGAAGCCCGTATTGGGCACAGGAATTTGGAAAGAATTTGTGAAGATTTCCTACAAAGTGTTCACTGTTCTTCATTGGGTCCGGCCGGAAGAGGGAGAAAAAAAACGAAATCGTCCGTCAAGTGTGTCCACAATTCCGTGTTGGATGCCTGCGTGTACCAATCATCCGCCATCCGTCTGGCGATGCCTGGCGTACGATTGACATTTTGATGTCCAGTCATGTCGAGGATGTCCTGCAACGCGTGCACCGGCAGGTTTCCAATGCGGGCTCTTTGGATCCACCTTTCTGGAGGTAAATTAGCACTCAATGTACAATCCAAATTGCCAATATGATCTAAAAAACGGTGTGACCATAAATTCACCTGATGTTCACCTACGATTGTTTGAGCCTTCATGTTCCACTCGTGCAAAATCTCGTGCCAGGGATGCGACCCATCCAGATTGCCCGGAGCTCCGACCACCATACGAAGCAGCTTGCACCAAAAAAAAAAAAACTCAGTTTTAGACACTCAAGCAACACCCTCAAAAAATGACCTGGGGGTGTTGGGCGTTCCCATTTTGTACCGCAAAATCTCGCTTTTGAGGCCAAACCTCTTAAAAAAACACGAGTCTGCCATAAATCTAGCAAGAGGTTTTCTCTACAAAATCAACGCGCCCAACCCTTTTTTTTGTGCATTACTTTTTTGTGATTTTCAGAACCCCTGGCCGCTACAAAGTGGGGAACTTGACATGAGGAGACATTTCAGCAGAATTGCTACTTGGAACAAAGCAAACCCTCAAAAATACAAAAGATCCAGTTTGGAGAGGGATGATGTGAAAGAACTTTGTCTCCCCTGAAAACCCTGAAAATTTATAAAAAAAATTTTGTAAGAGGCAATTCCTGTTCCACATATCCAATTTTTCCGAAATTAATCTAATTTGTAAATATTTATGCACATGAATGGTGACACACCCCCAAAACCTCTACAGAATGAGGAACTGTAGGAACCTACAGTTTCAGCCAACTACAACATGTTCCCTCTCCAAGATCAGGAACCTGTAATTGCATATCCTTGCAGGCACTTAGGCTGTCCAAAAAAAAATTGTGTTGACGGACCTCTACAGAATGAGGAAGCTGCCACAAATCTACCCCCCTTTTTTGGGCACTACTTTTGTGATTTACAGAACCACTGACAAAGAAAACCTTTAAAAATCTAAAGGTCAATGTTGTAGAGGGATGATGTGAAAGAACCTTAGTCTCACCCGAAAACCCCAAAATTTTACAAAAATATATTTTGCAGACGCAATTCCAGTTCCACATTTCCAGTTTTTGTGAATTGTCTCTTACACTCCACTCTGCCAAGCATGCCTGTGACTTGCCCAACCGGATTGGATGCCGGTGGTCCTACCCAGTGCCATGGGTGCAACTTCTGCAATACATTTTGCAAGAATGCACATCACATTCAGATACGCTTCGAGACTCCCATGTCAGGCAAACCCCGCCTGCCGAATGGTAGGGGTGCAACATCTGCTGGGTGCCTGACGGGAAGAACTCTCACTGGGATGAGGAGGGGGGGCAGGTGAGAGTTACTTCAACTCAGGCTCACCCACGCCCCCGCCGCTTTGAGTTTGACAGAGCCGTCCGTGCACTTGCTTGCATCTCATCAAGATCGTTTCTCGTGCACTCCCTCTGGACTGACGTGACAAAGAAACATGTTCATCAAACAGTTTCTTGTCTCTTACACTCCACTCTGCCAAGCATGCCTGTGACTCGCCTAACCGGATCGCACCTTTTGATCGTGAGGATGCCAATGGTCCTACCCAGTGCCATGGGTGCAATGTGCAACTTCTGCAATACATTTTGCAAGAATGCACATCGCATTCAGATGCGCTTCGAGACTCCCATGTCAGGCAAACCCCACTCGTCACAGCGCAAGCAAGGAGCGCCCGGGATGACCGGATTACCCAGGACTTCTCTCAAGAAGAGATTGTTTTCCCATAGCTGTTTCGGATACGAGTGCGAAGTGCTTAGGTGAAGTGCACAATCAAGAGCCTTTTCCACCATGAGGGGTATGCAGTTTCGCTACTTCAGCTAACCACACTCAACCAGACTTCCTACCCCCTTTCAGGTGAGAGTTACTTCAACTCACGCTCCCCCATTCATCAAACAGTTTCGTATATATTTATGCACATGAATGGTGACACACCCCAAAACCTCTACAGAATGAGGAACCTACAGTTTCAGCCAACTACAACATGTTCCCTCTCCAAAATCAGGAACCTGTAATTGCATATCCGTGCAGGCACTTAGGCTGTTCAAAAAAATGGTTTTGGCGGACCCCCCGGGGGTCCTGACAATGGAGTGGAAATCCTTCGGGGGATCTCAAGCGTCATTTCGTTCGAAGGGGTTGCATCCGTACCAACCAAACTCACCAAAAAAAACTCTTAATTTTTGACACTCAAACATCATTTCGTGTGAAAAGGTTGCTGCCGGACAAACCAAAGTCGGAAAAAAACCCTCAGTTTTTGACGTTCGAACCTCCTTTCGCGCCAAACGGTTGCCGCCGGACCAACGAAACGCGCAAAAACCTTTAATTTTTGACACTCGAACCTCGTTTCATGCGCAAGGGTCGCCGGACCAACCAAACTCGCAAGAAACCCTCAATTTTTGACACTCGAACCTCGTTTCGTGAGAAAGGGTTGCCGCCGGACCAACCGAACTCGCAAAAAACCCTCAATTTTTAACACTTGAACCTCAGTTCGTGCGAAAAAGTGACCATATCGTCGCGCCTCGTCGGCACTGCCTGCGGGCTTAAGAGAAAAGAAAAAAAAGGAAAGAGAGAGAGAGAGAGACAGAGAGACAGAGAGACAGAGAGACAGAGAGACAGAGACAGAGAAGATGTGAAGATGTGAAGATGTGAGTATGCGAAGGTAAGAAGATGTGAAGATGTGAGTATGTGAAGGTAAGAAGATGTGAAGATGGGAAGATGTGAAGATGTGAAGATGTGAACAGCGAGAGAGAGAGAGAGAGAAATGTGCGAAGATGTGCAGATGTGATGATGTGAGGATGTGAAGATGTGAAGATGAGGAGATGTGAAGATGTGAAGATGAGAAGATGTGAAGATGTGAAGATGTGAGTATGTGAATAGGTAAGAAGATGTGAAGATGAGAAGATGTGAGTATGTGAACATGTGAAGATGTGAAGATGTGAACATGTTAAGATGTATAGCAGACCTCCACTTTTAGAAGAACCCTTCGCTCAGACGCTCTCGGGAAAAACTCTTGGCCACAAAAAGTTGGGATGCGCTTAAACGTTGAGAATGTTCCGCGCGAGTTTGGGTTGTCAGTTTGGCATGGACTTGTCGAAAGAGTTTGGTCATGTCATTTGCCGATGTGGAAGTTGCGGACGCGAATGTTTCGGAACATATGATTTGGTTGTCGCAATTCTCCTATCGTGACCAACATCGTGCAATCCGAGCGAATCCTGAAAACATTCCCCATGTGTTCATACTGCAGGTGTGCGACAAGGGCGTGTTTTGACGCCTGGCTTGTTTCATCGTTGCAATGGACGTTGAAGAAATGGCGCGTCAAAGTCAAAGTGCAAGATTACTGCCGGATTGCTGGACGCAGCATCTTTAAAAAATGGGAACTGGCTGCGCTGTGGCGATGATCGCCGCTCGAAAAGCAGTTCGAATCATGTCATTTCGTTCGTTGAAGTTTCCTGAAGGAATGCCTCAAAGAGGCAGCCTCCGAGACTCACAAGCATCGACTCGACTCCATTCTTACCTGAGAAACACCTTGCGCGCCCTGGCTCCCCTAGGTGTTTAAAATGTCACCTTCGAAAAGGACGAGGTTCAAACGGTGATGGGTGCCGACTGTAGAACTTGCTTCGATCAACAAACGCCACCGAGTTCACTGCCCACACTGCCCTTTTTCAAACTGACGGCATTGACAGGTCGCTCAACTGGGATGTGTGTTGCCAGGGTGGCCCTTTGCACCCTTTGCAACATCCTTTTTGCCCATCTCTGTTCCGAGATATGGATCTGTCGGATCTGTATGAAATGCTAGTTTTAGTCTGGAAAATGATGATTCAGATGATTCAGAATCTTGAGGTACCCTTTGAGACAACCCGTCTTCAAACATCAAACGCAGCCATTGCTGAACAGTGAAGTGTCTTTGTCACCGCTGAGCTTTGGCTTCACTGAGTTCTGTTTCGGCCTTGCAACTGGGAATGATGCAGGTGTCTCACCAGTTTCACCAGCTTGCTTGGCACTGCAAATCTGACGTGAACCTGAACAATTGTATCGGTCAAAAAGGATCCACGTGAACTCTCAAGGTTGCAACTACAGCCCACCAGCATTCAATGTTTCTTGTTCATACTCACCAGTTATTTATGCCAAAAACTGTCTTGCTATTTTTCAATGTAACAAATAGAAGACCCACAGTTGCTCCAGCATGCGCTGCAACTGCTGTGTAATATGCAAGTCCCGGCCAAGCCTGTGCGCCCTCAAAGGGAGACAGTTCCCTCAACCAAACACCAGGTCAGGGTTGACATGTCTTTGAGGGCATTTGAGTCTACTTATAAACGTTGTAAAAGGGCTTCCACATTGTGCTGGGAACAAACTGGTTCGAAATTGGAGGGTATGATTCTACAGACTTTCTCTTCTCCAACAAGTGTCCAAAATCAGTGGAATGATGTGGAATGCAGTCCCACCTCTTCAGCGAGGTAGCCGAGTTTCTCTTGCAGCCTCGGCGAAGGTGACAACTCAGCTCTTGGCGCCCATAGTGGAAGTACTGCAGAAATCAATAGAAATCATGAAGGCATAGGCTGAAATATGGCTGAAATCCAATCTCGGAAATGCTGAAGAGCATTTCCCTTTGTACCCCGAGGCTCTTGCCTCATGACAGCTGGGGTAAAGTCACTGCCTTGGCCATGCGCCAAGTCACAAGACCCTGTGGCACCCTGCAGTTTGCACTGGCTCGAACAGAAATAAGGGACAAATTGCAGCGCCCAAGAGGTCAACACCCCAACCACCTGAATGAGCATGTGTTTAATGTATAGATACATTTATACTAGACTATATATCTAATTCTAATCATATATTGATTATATTTATATAGTATATCATAATATCTATCTATCTATCTATCGATCGATCGATCGATCGATCGATCTGATCTGATCTGATCTGATCTGATCTGATCTGATCTGATCTATCTATCTGATCTATCTATCTATCTGATCTATCTATCTATCTATCTATCTATCTATCTATCTATCTATCTATCTATCTAATCTATCTATCTATATATATATATATATTGTATCATGTATATCATATACTATCATATAATCAATATACAAAGAAGTCATAAGGACATAGCTCTTCAGCAGAGCTGAGAGTCTCGCCATCATGATGGGAGGTACCAGGCGCCTCTGTTGGGCGATGTGGTATCGCCTTGCAGCACTGGATCAGCACGACGAGGAGTGGATGTAACTGGGTCGCTTTCCCCGAAGTCACCAGGATGTTAGTTGCTTCATCCCATTGTAAATTCCAATAAAAATCGCCATTTTATGAATTATGATGGTGAAATTATGATGGTTAAATGCCCATGAATGATGGGGATCACATTGTTTTATTGAGAAGAAGAAAATTCCTGCGGAACTCCCAGCCGCGCCGGGTTGGAGGGACGCCGCCAGCGTCGACGATGAATCTCACTGGCGCGGCCCTCGCCAACGGCCCGGGCCGGAGGCCTTGGATGGCTACTTCTTCCAGTGGCGATACCCCCCCAATCTCATTGGGATATATGGAATGATTGGAATGGACGTTTCTTGCTGCTAAACTCGCATAGCCGCATAGCTATGTTTCACAACCACGTTTAATAGATAAATCAACATAAATCAACTACCAGTATGGCCATTTCCAGTAGCTATGTTAGAATTACCAAAGGCTAAGTCACGGGGGTACCCCCAGTTCTCATGGGATTTTCCATGAAACCATCCAGCTATTTGACTTTGGAAACCTCCATATGATGAGCACTGCGTAACCAATCATTAAGGCTTGATATGAGCTGATTCTATAGGAGTTTCTTGAAATGGTGACACTCCACAAATCATCCAAATCATTATATATACCATCGTAGTAATGAAACCCATGGTTGTGTGGGTCCACCATTTTAAGAACCCCCATATGGGATTTACCTCCGGCAAAAAATACTAAACCGACCAATTCATGGTGATATTGGTTATATGAGTAATCTATCGTCTTACCACAAAATTGAGATTTCACCAACAAGATGGTGATTTGAAAACCAACTTATGGGATGTGCACCAAAAGAAATTGGATTGGACCAATCATAATGGGATATATATAGTAATAATATCATATAATGGGATACAACTGACAACAACTCAATATGATATTTGGGCCGATTTATTGGTGCTTAAATGAGGATAAACCGCTGGAGTTGGGGCAACCCCTATTTTCAAACATATTGTGGGAGCGTAAGTTACATAATGGTTAATTATTGATATTGATGTTGGTAGCATCGGTAGCATACTGTCTACTGTCATAAAATGGAATTGTCATGAATTGTCACTGTTTGCTATGAGGCTCAGAGCAAAAAGTCATATTTCATCATATTTCCCATTCGTTTTGGGGTTCCCCTAAGACTCCGGGCCTTACACTCCCGTCAATCCTGGACACCCTGAGAACACAACTTGTCAGAGGTCAGCTCTGGTGCGACAGACCTGAGTGCATTGCAAGATTGCTGTAGAGGCGCCCAAAACATGTGACGCATGGACTTTGCTTGTGAAACACTTCTATATAGGGCACTTGTAATGCACTTGCTGGTAACGCTCACAGAAGAACCTCCTGGTAGAACGAAGTGACAACGAAGTTCTGGAAGTGCATTTCGAAAGTATGTCCTGATATCTTGCCCTTACGAAAAGATGTTCTCACACGAGAGTCACGGGGGCGGACGTGCGCAGCAAACCGTGTCTCGTGTCAATGATCAATCCTAAAGTTGGATGTTTCGCTGACAAGATGTGACAAGTTTCAAGTTCTTGCTGATCCAAATGGGTTTGGGGGCCTTAAATGGCAAAATGGCCTTAAGATCTGATCCAATTGGATTTCCACCACTGGGTTTCCATGCGAACGTGAGGCTTGCACCTGACCATGACTCGCGGGAATACCATTGGCACACAATGAGAAGGAATAATGAACAAAGAAAAATCATGGATTATCATGGATTGATGTCAACGGCTGAAGGTCTCTTACCCAACAACTCGGAGGTTGAAGAACCAAATTTAAGTCGACCCCTTTTGCATGGGATCTTTGGCCCAACATTCGCCCTGGACAGGACAGCTCTTCAGCGGACCAGACAGACCAGGCAAACTTCACAGACAGTCACATGCTGGCTTTCTTCTCATATAGCGATAGATAAAGATATCATATAACTATAACATAACTATATAATATTTATTTATTTGTTTAATTATTTATTCATGTATTAATTTATTTATTTAAATATTTATTTATTTATCTATTTATGTATGTATACAATAGGCTAGAGGTGCAGATTATACAATCTATAGCCAAGAACACGGCTATCTCCGTTCTCTGCAGGCAGAATTCCCCGGCACCAGATGTTCGCACCTCCAACGACGGCGCAACGGGAGCGGTCAAGATCTTCGTGGCAGACCTGCCCCCAAGGTGCTGGACTCAAATCATGTTTAGATCATCAAATGATCAAGAAATACAACATACAACCATATACAACCAATGTCCGCTAACATGAGTCACCCTTTCGAGTTGCTGTTTTCAATGATGCGAGTCCCGTCCTTTCAGGCTGCAGGTTCCCAGGCAGGGTTCGTTGTCGCGTCATTGGCGAAGCAACGGTCGTGGGAGCCGAATGAAGATCAGCCAACGCCTCAGTGACCGAACTGGGAACTGCTGATTTCGTCACAAAATCTGGCATGGCTTCACAAAATGGGAAATCGATGGAAATCGAAGAACTGCCCAAAAAGGCACAGGAACTTGGACTTTGAACTCTTCCAATTTTGGAAAAACAAACGGACAAAGAACCGCTTAATTTTGGTCTGTGTCGCCTTGGAGCTCAAAGGGGAGCCAGATCTCCTGGCAAGCCAACCAACTTGGAGATGCACCCAAAACGCTAAGCAAACTCAACCATACTCAACCCTAAATTGGATGTGAAATCATATGTGCCATGGTCAAATCGTATAGCGCTATGGTCATCCATCCTATAGCAGGGATCCTTATATAATGGGTACAAATATATCAATAATCAATCCCTACTGAGGGGGATGACTATCCCCTTTAACGGGAAAACACACCGACCTTCGACCATCAATCTCAAATTGATAATACTGATAAATTGGATATCAATTGATACAATGATAAATTGGATATCAATTGATACAAATAGACAAGCAACTATACCACACTATACCAACTTGAGGCCAATACGAGGTCGAGAGCAACTTTAATAAAGCTGATGATGCCGATGGCGACGATATGGTGACGATGTCCCAGGGTGGGGATTGAGCCAGAGCAAAAGTGCTTCCAAAAAAAACAGGTGGGGGGAGGAAGGGTGAGTAGTTAACTGTGAAGTTTCATGTGAGATATGTGAGTGGCGACTCCAGTTTTTGTCAATACCTTGGGAAAGCATGCTAAAGGAAGAGGGGCTCCAGCTAGCAGAAGCTAGCTTCCGTGATTGACGGTCGATTTTGGATGGAAATCCAGTGTCATCTTCCGTTCTTGTGGCCCCCTTCAAAACTCGGGGTTGCCCTTGCGATAGAGATTGATTCCCTATGATGTTCCGTTTTTGTTCCATATTTTGCCACTAGTCATTAGTATGTCACTAGTACAACTCTTGCCCGTATCTCATCGTATCTCTATAGGGACCCTTCTATGGCGTCATTTGGCATCAATACTTGGGCCTGCGAAGCCATCAGGGTTTGCCGAGAAATCTAGCACCCCAAAATCACATGCTTGGCATGGTTGACCATCATGTTCCCACGTCATCCCATTTCCCCATAGTTAAGCATATTCCCAAGAAGAATATCATAGAATTACCATAGAATTACCATAGAATTACCATAGAATTACCATAGAATTACCATAAATTGGGGCATCCCCCAGTTTTGAGATGAACTGATGAACCCCACCAGTCCAGCCCCAGGGCCCCAGTCCAACTCATGGCAACCCGGCAACCCGACCTGGGAACCGGCGGCTGCCGAGAGGAGAACGACAGGGGCGAAGGCGAAATCAGAGCGCCCCCAGCGCCACGCGTCTGTGGTGAGAGGTTCCTGCTGCGGCCGCGGCGAAGCCGCGATCATTGTGTAAAATTGGTGCTATTGGCACCACGAGACATCCTGGATCTATCATGATCTATCCATCCAATATTATGATATTGGTCTCATCTCATCTATCTGCATATCTATAGTGATGCTATTATTTATGCATGTTGGCATTAATTATATCAGTTTGTATAATTACGTATAGTTGTTGATCATTCAAAGTGGAAAAGTCTAGAAGGTTCCAGCAACATCTTTCAACCTTCCGCTGAGCCAGTCCTGACAGTCACTCCAAGCCTTCCATGAGGAGATGTCGGTCTCATGTCGCTGGGCTGAGTGCTGGTGCTCCGAAACATCTGGAAGTGAGGTGGTGGTGGCGTATAGGTCCCAGCCATAAACCTATCAGCCAGCTCCCTAGGAGTGGTGATAGGTGTGCCAGTGCTGAAGGTCGCAGTGGTCCCAATGGTCCCATTGAGCCCTTCTTTAAGCCCACTTCCATTGGCGCCATCCTTGGGGACATCCTTCGGCCCTTCCGTTGAGCCTTCCTTGGGTTCAGATGCCGTAGGGCTTCCCTCGGGGCTTCCCAAGGCTACCCTCCGCGTCTGCAGTTTCGGCGAAGGCACCACAGCAGTGCCCTGCCGACTGCTGGCATAGCCGTGCCTCAGCATCGGGCTTGGCATGGCGACCTGAAAATGGGTAGGCTATGATTTATGGTGGGCTCCATTTCCAGCAAAAATTGGGCATTGACGCTAATGCCTTTAAGACATTTCAAGACATTCCCATCTCACAGCGAGACTTTGCTTTCAAGTTGCCACACCAGCACTGAAGGTGTTGACGAAGTTGGCGTCGAAGAGCCTTGTGAGAGTGTTCCATGATTCCCATCCAGATGTTCAATTAGACACGCATAATAAAGCACATGCACAGACACTACTATAACGACTATGAATCATACACTACATAAACTTGATAGTCCTGGGCAAGGTGACGGAATTGTACGAAAGCATGGAACCAGATTCGAACTGTCCCACTTGATCCCATCAGCCTTGAGTTTGGAGATCCAACCCCCCTTACAAGGAAACACCGAGGCCCTGGCCTATCGGCCAACGAAGTCGAATCGGCTCCTGCAGTACATGATCACAAACTACTCAGAACAAGAAAAGCCAAGACCATGTTTGTACACGTTCGTCGTGTTTCATCATCCATTGTCCCCGAATCCCCCAAGAATCCCTGAATCCTGGTGCACTGAGATCGGTGGCGACTCCATGACTTTCGTTGGGGGCATGGATTTGGAAACCTTCATGGCTTCAGGATTCGCCAGATTCGCCAGATTCGCCACGACGGCTGGCACCCCAGGCACTGAGGGACTGCTGCTGGGCGCAGCCACCATGGCGGGCGCAGCAGGCGCAGCAGGCGCAGCAGGCGCAGCAGGCGCACTGGGCCTGGCCACCATGGCTGCCATGGCTGGTGTGCTGGGCGTGGCTGGCGTGGCTGGGGTGGTGGTGGCAGCGCTGGCGGCAGGGGCTTCGGCTCCTGATGAGGCGATACAATACATGCAGAAATGGGTGAGAAATGGGTCTGTCTGAAAATGGTGTATACGGTATACCGGTATACCTCCAAAATTGATCAAAATTGTATAGTTTTAGAAGGCCCTCCGGGGAAATCTACCCAAATACAAGAATCGCTAGGATCCAATTCCGAAGACAATCACAAGATATCACAAGTGAAGGAACATTCAATGACCACGTGGTGCAAGACTAAATCCTGGGCCCTTTGAGTCTGAGAGTCTCATAGATCTCATAGACACTTTGGTTCCTGGATGGTCTTGGGATTTCCCAGCATCCCAATGGTGGAATATGGTGGATATGTTGATGTTCCAAAGGTGTTGACATGTATTGACCCACAACCTCTCCCGTCAGCGCCTGGTGAGGCGTCAGCTCGTGGGGACTCGGCTACTTCCTCCAGATCACTTCAGTACTCCCAGCGATGAAAATGACACGGCTATGGCACCCAAAAGCATTGATTGATATCGATATTGCATTGGATGATAAATCTAACTCGTCCAAAATCTTCCAGCTGTCCACTGCGTCCTTCGCAACAACTCCACTGAAGCTTCGTATGATGGGGTTGCTGCGCTTCGGATCCTGGTGCACAACATGTAGAAAATAATAGACACAAACTCTTAACCTATGTCAAACTAACTTCACTTCTCTTCCACTAGCATTCCTTTCATTGAAATGGCGCTTCAAGCAGTGTCTTGAAATTAGACCTGCCCCTTGCAGAAGGTTCGCATTCACTGCAAGGGGATCTCAGCAGGAGATACCACCAGACCCCTGGATCATCCTGGATCCCATATCCCATTCCCCCTTCCTGCACGATAGGTCGGGCAATCACCTTTGGCGGACCAAAGACCTTGGTGGTCAGCGGTCTCATGCAATTCACCTCGCGCGGGTGAGGATCTCCGGGAACAAATGAAACATGTCGATGGATGTTGATCAGCTGATATCGGTTGACCTGCAAAATGTATCAAAATGTTCCACAACATCGTGACAAATATAGTGCTACTATGTCATTACTATGTGCTACTTGTTTTCTGCTACTTCGTTCTCAAATGCTTCTGTTTTCTTCTCTTTCCATCTGTTTCCCTTCTGTCCACCTTCCATCTCGGGATGACTGGATGTCCAAAAACACTTGGTGGCCTCGGCTGGAATGTAGCTGCTCACCGCATCCTCAACGGCTCCATCAGCTCCTGCAGAGTCAGGTTCAATAGATTTGAATGGTACAGTTAAAGAAAGCTGCAAATTCATGCTAGTTCTTGATTTTGATGAGATTGATGTCTTGCCATGGTTGTTTATCTCAGGGCACCCATTGTTTGCTTCGCGTAGTCGACTCTTGTTTGCTGCACATCTGGTACACAATCCTCCCATCGTACCAGAACTGCCCCAATCCCCACCTTTCCGCGCAGCGAGCATCTGTCTGGGTGGATAGCCAGACCCCAAAAAACGCAAAGGATCACCTGCAAGGATGGTCAGACCGAAGGCATGATAGGCATGATAGGCATGATTTAAATATCAAAGGCGTCATGACATGCAATGCTTTGAAACCCCATGAAGTGTGTTTTCCATTGTTTTCCCATAGACTTTACCTCACACTGAGCGGAATTCAGCGCATTAGCCCAGTGCACTTGGAGACGTGCCTGCGCTGGAGATTTGTCGCGGGCTCACACCATTTGGGCTGGGCACCGGAAGATTCTGAACTGTCTGCACTGTTGGCCAAAAAATGACCTGCCTCAGAGCTGAGAAGGTGCCCAGTGGCATGTCAGTGGCATATCCAAAATCGAACATCGGCAAATTAAAAATCAAAAATCCTCCAAGTTTGTCGAAGGAGTTTGTCCAGGGTGTCGGTGTATCTTATCTGATGGGATTTTGTCGGATCCCATCAAATCCCATTAAAATCCCATTAAAATCCCACGACAGCCAGGCAGCTGTGTATTCAGCCGCGGCGACCGCAGGACATACGCCATCGGTCGTTCGCCCGGGCCCCGGGCCGTGTGCGGCACCGGCGGCGCCGGCACGGCAGTGGCGACCCGGGGCACGGAGCTGGGCGAAACGCTCATGGCTGACTCAGTGGCTATGCTATGTCTGCTATGTGGATGGTGTCTATTGGTGTTTGGTAATATGGTTGAAGGGAGTTGAAGGGAGTTGGCTAAATAACATACAGATATACTATATGAATCTATATGATATACATACAGATCATTATTGATCATACAGTTGGGTTAGTTGGAAATGGTTGTGGAATATACTTGGTTGTTGGGAATCAAAAATATTGAAAAATCATATAGTTGGTTGAATGTGGTTGGTTGAATTATTGATTGGCCAAAGTTGAATAATTATGGTTGGTGATTGATGCTGGTTGATGTTGATTCATGTTGATTGTTGGATGCTGTACATCCAATTATCATCCCATGGTATCTCCCCGATTTGGGAGGCGAGGCTGGCCTGCTTTGGTCTGGGAGCTGAGGTCCAAGGTCAGTCCAATAATGCTTGGCTCGCCATCAAGATATATCTGGTGCACCCAAAATTAATCAGCAAGCAAATTTGAATTTCTGTTCCCCAAAGATACTCAAAGTGACTCAAAGTACCACTCCACGCTTTTCTGTCGCTTTCACTGTTCGGCACAGGAATTGGTTGTTCGAGACAGTTTCATGTACGGATTCGCAGGACTCTCATTTAAGTTCTCCTGAATGCCTAACAAAGTAACACTTACTACTTTTCAAGCAAAAGTTACTAACAAAATCTAACAAATATGTCCTTCATTGTCCTTCCATAGGATGAAAGTTGACTCAACCAAGTTTTTTTCACAAGCCTGCGATGTGGACAAGAAAATCCACGCAGAAAATTTACGCTGAAAATTGTGCGAGGTGATGTTTGATGTGACCCTCATCTCGCTGGATGTTCATGGTCAATGGATTCAATGGATGCAGAGAGCATCGCGGCATATGGCACATTTGAATTGAACATGAAGCTAAAAGAAGATATAGAAAGATAATGAAAGATATTTGCTCGATTGGCATCTGTCTCATCTCGAAAATCAGGTGCAGCATGATCAAGTTGACCAAGGTTCGCAACTATACCCAGGGAATGTCAAGCCCCCAAACCTTCTGCGCAATCTCAAAGCCAGTAGGCAGCTGCCATGCGAACAACAGCACGTTGACTCCATTCAGGGCAATGTGCGCAGTTCTTGCCGACTCGTTTCCTGCATGGAAGAGGTCTGATGACACTTCCCTATGCCTTCCCTGTCTGGGAACTCCCTGCTTCTTGGGTACAGAGTACTTTAGCACACTTACAAGAGGGAAAAAGTTGGTCCCGCCACGGCCCCGCGCAAACCATCGCCTTACCATTTGAGCCTCTGATCACAGGAAACAAATCAGGCAGAAAACCTCTCTATCCTGCTCTTCATACTCTTCAAACAAAATCAACATCTCATTCATTGAACATCATGAACAATCATGAACATATTTGTTGATAGTGACAAGATGTGACAAGTGCACTGAGTTCCCCATTGGGATGCCATCTCTCAAGGGTGTGTGTGATCGCAATGGCTGTCCATCCCCGTCCCGTCCATCCCGTCCATCCCGTCCATCCCGTCCACCGGGCCTTTCTCCATGAATGGCACCATGGCTGCAGAGACGGCCCAGATCACCACGATGGCCGCGCCGGCGAACAAATGTGGACCCGGAAACAGCTTCTCTGCTCGGAACCTGTAGCAGCTGTAGCAGTAGCGTCGCCCCATGCCATCCATGCCCCATGCGACCAACGGGTGCATGAAGTAAGATGAATGTCATGCAGCATGAAATAGCATGAATGTCATGTGCAAGTCAAATGAAGGTAAGTGAATGTTATGAAGCAATTACAGCGGCGAGTTCTTCACCCGAATTGTCCAAGCAGCCAGGTGTTGAAGACTCCATAGGTGGTGAAGAAAATACCACCTCTGAGCAGAGTCCGTTGGCTTTCACACATTGTTGACGTTTCAAAGCCCCCAAAAAATCATCAGGGTTCACACTCTTCCCAGTAGGGCGGCATGACACGGTTGCACTATGTTGCATTCATACAACCAATGACCGTCATGCCAAGTTGCCGCCGAGAATGATGGAGCTGAGAGTGTGGTGCTTGTCCTTGTAGCCTGTGGGCTCTGAGGAGAAAATGCCACCAGCAAAGTGTTTTTTGATGCAAATTCAACTCACGTTGGCATTTTGTCTGCAAGTAGGATGAGACAATCATCTCAACATTTGAGGTATTTGGATCCCTCCTGCAAAAAGTGGTGAACAGGGCTGCTTCAGCCTATCAAACATGCTGGAATGAAATTCAACCATCGTTCTGTGAGTCCATCATTGGAGCCGCTTAATCTAGCAAGAGAATACGGAGTCCGTTTCTGGCGACCTGATCCTCTATCTTTTTAAGCCAAGGTGCCCTCTTTCACCATCTCCTTCCTCTCAGCATCCAGTTGGCTGATCTGCTCCTTCAAGGATTTGGTTGCTGCGGACTCCTCCTCCTCATCCTGTCAGGATCAAGGCGCTACAAGGACAAGATAAGCACGCCCCAAGGTCCTGCAGGATTACGATCTTCAGCCTTTTCTTTGGGACTTAATGACTTATGATGACTTATGTTTAAAATTGTTTAAATTGTTTTAATTAGAAACAGGGATCCCCAGGGGTTGAAGCCCCTGACCGACAAAATCGTGAGCCACCTTGGGCAGCTGCTTTCGGAGGTTGCTGATGTCAGCGCCAAGGGTGCGGGTTTGACGCCACTGCCAGCCCAGGAAGCCCGTGTACAGCATGGTGAAGAAAAACAAGGACATGGCGGTGGGATGAACCAAGCCTCAAGATGTTTTTTCTGATCACCAATCATCTCTTGATTGGTCCAAATCCTGGGACCCTGGTGAACAGCAAATCTCAAAAAAATACCCCAAACCTCAAGGAATCTTTGAAAACCTATCATACTTTGGCTCTTTTCAACCGCTGCCGAGTGGCTCGAAGCCTTGCCTTCCAATGGCCCCCACTGACCGCCCTTGGCCCAAGCCTCAGATGGCGTCAAAGCTGCCAACGCCACGGCTGCTGATGCCACCTCAGCCGTTCTCACTGGATCAGGTGAATCCTGCCGAAATTGGAAAGCCATTCACATCCTTTAGCAATGTGCAATGGATGAAAATAGAATTATACATTTGCCATTTAAATCAGTTTAAAACCATGTAGACTTGTACCAGATCATACCAGTAGATGGATGTTGGAGAATCCAGCCTTGGGCCCCGGATGGTTCCGTTGGTTCCCCGGCCTCTGCCTCGCTTCGCAGGCTTCGCTCGCGGCCGGGAGCTGGGACGAAGCACAGGGAGCCGCAGAACATGGCCAGCGCCAAAGCCCCGAGCCGTCCACGGCGCTGGGAGAAACGCGCCATGGGAAGAAGGGATCAGCCGATGCCGATGGAAACTTCAGCTAACTGCCTGGAGAAAGGATGGAAAAATGCCACACATCCAGCGTTCAGCCACACTTGAGTGCATGTCAACAGCTGTTGAGTTTACACTGGGCTCCGACAGAAGCATTGCTCGCGCAGCTGATTTGTTTTCTCTAGGCCTGGGTAGCACTCGTAAACAGACCTTCGACTGTGTGCCAAGACTTCAGTCCGAGTTTCCGGAAAGATATGTGCTTCGTTTGCCCTTCGAGTCTGAGAGTAGTTTCCTGATGTGTTTCACATGAACGTACATAGTTAGATTGTGGTAGTTGAAACCATTTTTAGGGCACCTTTTGAACTTGGCGATCCATTCTCTGTTGCCTTTGTCAACATCAGACATGTCTGCGACTGTCTGTTTGGAAACTCACGAAAACAAGATTCAACGGAACTAGGTGCAGCGATCCCCAGAGGGAAAATCTGATGACAATGCCACTTCTTCAGCCTGCTGTCATTGACGTGCAACAACGTCCAACAAATGTAGTTATACATTTATACTATACACTGTAAGAATATGTAAGAATAGTATGTTCACAACATAACAATGATAAGTAGATGTTGTTGTTGTTGTTGGTGGTGGTGGTGATGATGATGATGATGATGTTGATGATAGAAGTAGAAGTAGAAGTAGAAGTAGAAGTAGAAGTAGAAGTAGAAGAAGTAGAAGTAGAAGTAGAAGAAGAAGTAGTAGTAGTAGTAGTAGTAGAAGTAGTAGTAGAAGAAGTAGAAGTAGAAGTAGAAGTAGAGGTAGAAGTAGAGGTAGAAGTAGAAGGAGAAGGAGAAGTAGAAGGAGAAGTAGGAGGAGAAGTAGAAGTAGAAGTAGAAGTAGAAGTAGAAGGAGGAGTAGAAGGAGAAGTAGAAGTAGAAGTAGTAGAGTAGTAGAGTAGTAGACTAGTAGAGTAGTAGAGTAGTAGAGTAGTGGAGTAGTAGAGTAGTAGACTAGTAGAGTAGTAGAGTAGTGGAGTAGTAGAGTAGTAGAGTAGTAGAGTAGTAGAGTAGTAGAGTAGTAGAGTAGTAGAGTAGTAGAGTAGTAGAGTAGTAGAGTAGTAGAGTAGTAGAGTAGTAGAGTAGTAGAGTAGTAGAGTAGTAGAGTAGTAGAGTAGTAGAGCAGTAGAGCAGTAGAGCAGTAGAGCAGTAGAGCAGTAGAGCAGTAGAGTAGTAGTAGTAGTAGTAGAGACTAGTAGAGTAGTAGAGTAGTAGAGTAGTGGAGTAGTAGAGTAGTAGACTAGTAGAGTAGTAGAGTAGTGGAGTAGTAGAGTAGTAGAGTAGTAGAGTAGTAGAGTAGTAGAGTAGTAGAGTAGTAGAGTAGTAGAGTAGTAGAGTAGTAGAGTAGTAGAGTAGTAGAGTAGTAGAGTAGTAGAGTAGTAGAGTAGTAGAGTAGTAGAGTAGTAGAGCAGTAGAGCAGTAGAGCAGTAGAGCAGTAGAGCAGTAGAGCAGTAGAGTAGTAGTAGTAGTAGTAGCAGGAGTAGTAGTAGTAGTAGTAGTGTAGTAGTAGTAGTAGTAGTAGCAGTAGTAGTAGTAGTAGTGCGTAAGGTTAATAACAATAGTGTATACGGTATCAACAAATGTATATGTGCTATGTATAAAAATGTAGATTATAAAATAATAATAACAATAATAATAATAATACATCATATTATGGCTATTTTTGCCGTCATCATTCCCTGCGTTGCTCCAAGCCAAAGCAAAGAGCTGAGCCGGCACTGAACACCTTCCGTCAGACTTTGCTGAGGCGTCTTCAATACCCGAGCTGCACAGGTGAACAGTTCTCTTGCTCTACAGCTGAGATCATGTCACAAAGGGCGAATCGTTTTATGTTTTTTTTCTGACGTCCTGAGTCCTGAGTGATCCATTCCTTAGGGATTCATTGTTAAACCATGTGAAACCCCTAGTGATGGGGGGATGACCATCTCCTTTCAGGGAAAGGTAAACGAGATTAAACGAGGTTTTGACTGTTGGACATATGATTAAAATTGATGGACCATCCTGACAATGGAGGTATAAGCAATTAAACATCATCCAAACAAATCCACGTGTTGGGGTCACGATGGGTCATGTTTATCAAGTTCCCAAGGTTCCCAAGGTTCCCAGTCATAGACATCATAGACCATTGACCAAGCTGTATATCAAAGTGGCATTTCTTGCTTGTCATACTACCAGCATCTGCCCTTTCTCTGCCCTTTCTGACCATCCGGCTGGAGCCACTGTCATAGGAGTGCATAGGAGTGAGGCTATAGCCTATTTGCATCGCAGCCCGAGATCTGCCGGTCGCTGCCGACTGGTCGAATCGGACATGACCAACCAATACCAAGCACATCTGTGACACCTGATGGTTACCTGCGGCTGTTGCTGGCTGTTAGAATGATCAACAGTACTCATGTCATGAACTGGCTACAGAAGCTTTCAATATCAGCCTCGATGCTGGCAATTTCTAACACTCACGGGTGAACCTGAACCTCAGCTGACATCGATTCGGAACGGTGACCACTATCTGCGTGGCTTTACGGCTAAACCACCCCGAACCACTGGGCCCCTGGACTGTATCACCAGCTGTTGGCTTCAACCTCCTATTCGTCATTCCGGATCACCATTCCATTTAGAGATGGAAAACACGAATCCGAAACCTGCCACCAAATCAGAGCCTGCCGAATCTGCTGCCTTGCTACAATCATCTGAAGGCGAAGAAAGGCTCCTCTTTCCACAGGAGCGAGCTAGTTATTAATAAGATTTAATAAGTAAGCCACAGTAAGCCATACAAATCAGTACAGCATCCAAATTCAACTTTCATCCCTTCAGACACGAGGATCTGTAGGAACACTCAAGAAAAAAACGAACAACTTGAGAAGATCCCCGGGTTGCAAATAATGCTTTCCCTCTATCATCATATTGAGTCATATTGAGATATCCGCCGACCCCTGCCGACAGCAGGGGGAGCGCGTCAGAGAAGAGATTACAAGCAACAAGTGTTGTGCAGTGCAAGTGAGGGGCAAGTCAGGGGGAGGACAGAAAGGGAAGCAAGGTGCAGTGCAAGAAGCACGAAAAAGGAAGCGAGAAAGGAGGGGCAGTCCCAGCGACAGAAGCAAGCGAAAGAAGCACGAAACAAGAAGTTAGAAGCAAGAATTAAGAAGCAAGAGTTTAGGAGCAATAAGCACGAAAAAGGAAGCGAGAAAGGAGGGGCAGTCCCAGCGAAAGAAGCAAGCGAAAGAAGCACGAAACAAGAAGTTAGAAGCAAGAATTAAGAAGCAAGAGTTTAGGAGCGAGAAGCACGAAAAAGGAAGCGAGAAAGGAGTGGCAGTCCCAGCGAAAGAAGCACGAAACAAGAAGTTAGAAGCAAGGCGCAAGAAGCAAGAGAGAACGAGCGATAAGCACGAAAAAGGACGCGAGAAAGGAGGGGCAGTCTCAGCGAAAGAAGCAAGCGAAAGAAGCACGAAACAAGAAGTTAGAAGCAAGAATTAAGAAGCAAGAGAGAACGAGCGACAAGCCAGAAAAAGGAAGCGAGAAAGGAGGGGCAGTCCCGGCGAAAGAAGCAAGCGTAAGAAGCACGAAGCCAGGTGCAGGGCAAGAAGCACGAAAAAGGAAGCGAGAAAGGAGGGGCAGTCCCAGCGACAGAAGCAAGCGAAAGAAGCACGAAACAAGAAGTTAGAAGCAAGAATTAAGAAGCAAGAGTTTAGGAGCGATAAGCAGGAAGAAGGAAGCGAGAAAGGAGGGGCAGTCCCAGCGACAGAAGCAAGCGAAAGAAGCACGAAACAAGAAGTTAGAAGCGAGCGACCAGCCAGAAAAAGGACGCGAGAAAGGACGGGCAGTCCCAGCGAAAGAAGCAAGCGAAAGAAGCACGAAACAAGCAGCTGTCAGCTGCAGGCTTCAAGGGCTACTTTTCTAGCGGGCTCAGAAAGCGACGTTAGGCAGTGGCACCGGGGCTTCGGAAGCGCCGTTGGGACCGGCATGCCATGGTGTTTTCCCGTTTCGGAAGCGGCCGCCAAAGCCGTCAGCTGCAGGCTTCAAGGGCTACTTTTCTAGCGGGCTCAGAAAGCGACGGTAGGCAGTGGCACCAGGGCTTCGGAACCGCCGTTGGGACCCAACTGCTACTTTTCTTGAGGACCTGCATGGTTCGTTTGGTGCGGCCACCAGCCACTCGGTCGTCTTGCATGTGCGACCGCGCGTGTTCGTGTGCTGTGCTCGAATGCGTCCGTGGGGTTGCTTGGATTCCACCTTGGTGTTGCACGTTGGACATGCGTGCGTATAGCGAGTGCAAACACGTCCTGCAGCCACGCGAAACTGACGGCCACAGTGCCCCCGTGTGTTGACCTTTCCTGTGAAGACGCTGCTTTGCACACATTGCTGGCACGAAGGACATGTGTTCGTGTAGACACATGCGGCAGCTTGGCCGTTCGGGTCGCTGCCATGGTGTTTTGGCCCTGCGAAGGGGTCCTTGGCGTGGAGCTGTGCAGGATGAGGCTTGGAGCTAGTTTCTAGTCGGTTCAGAAAGTGACGTTTGGCACTTCGCGGGCCCGATCCGTCCTTCACTGCCATGGTGTTTTGGCCCTGCGAGGGGGTCCTTGGCCCGGAGCTGTGCAGGATGAAAGTTGGCAGGCAAAGTCTAGTTTCTAGTCGGTTCAGAAAGTGACGTTTGGCCCTTCGCGGACCCGATCCGTCCTTCACTGCCATGGTGTTTTGGCCCTACGAGGAGGTCCTTGGCCCGGAGCTGTGCAGGATGAAAGATGGCAGGCAAAGTCAAGGCTTGGAGCTAGTTTCTAGTCGGTTCAGAAAGTGACGTTTGGTACTTTGGGCTAGTTTCTAGGCAGTTCAGAAAGCGACGTTTGGCAGTATGGGCTGATCCGTCCTTCACTGCCATGGTGTTTGAAGCCTGCGACACGGTCCTTGGACCCGAGCTGACGGCAGGAAAAAGGAAAGTTTGAAGCTAGTTTCTAGGCAGTTCAGAAAGTGACGTTTGGCACTTTGGGCTACGGGCCGCGTGCCCGGTCCGTCCTTCACTGCCATGGTGTTTTAGCCCTGCGAGGGGTCGTTGGCCGGGAGCTGTGCAGGATGAAAGCCAGCTGCAAGAGAATGCAAGGAAATTGAAGGTTCGAAGCTAGTTTCGAGGCAGTTCAGAAAGCAACAAGCGAGTTTGATTAAGTTGGCAGGCAAAGTCAAGGTCAAGGCTTCGGGCTAGTTTCAGAAAGTGACGTTTGGCACTCTGGGCTACGGGCCGCAGGCCCGGTCCGTCCTTCACTGCCATGGTGTTTTGGCCCTGCGAGGAGATCCTTGGCCCGGAGCTGTGCAGGATGAAAGTTGGCAGGCAAAGTCAAGGCTTGGAGCTAGTTTCTAGTCGGTTCAGAAAGTGAGTTTGGCACTCTAAACTAGGGCCGCCGATTCACGCCATGGTGTGAGGGGGTCCTGGCCCGGAAGGATGAAGTGGCAGCAAAGTAAAGGTTGGAGCTAGTTTCTAGTCGGTTCAGAAAGTGACGTTTGGCACTTCGCGGGCCCGATCCGTCCTTCACTGCCATGGTGTTTTGGCCCTGCGAGGGGGTCCTTGGCCCGGAGCTGCGCAGGATGAAAGTAGGCCCGGTCCGTCCTTCACTGCCATGGTGTTTTGGCCCTGCGAGGGGGTCCTTGGCCCGGAGCTGTGCAGGATGAAAGTTGGCAGGCAAAGTCAAGGCTTAGAGCTAGTTTCTAGTCAGTTCAAAAAGTGACGTTTGGCACTCTGGGCTTGGCCCGGAGCTGTGCAGGATGAAAGTTGGCAGGCAAAGTCAAGGCTTGGAGCTAGTTTCTAGTCGGTTCAGAAAGTGACGTTTTGGCACTTCGCGGGCCCGATCCGTCTTTCACTGCATGCCGTAAGGCTCCAACGGTGTCCTTTGGACAACCTTTTGTTCCGTAACATCGTTATGTTGTCGTAGGTTTGTATTGCTTCCGTCTGTTTCCGTAGTTTTTAACATACCTTTTTTGAGAGATTGTCCGGCATGATGCAATGAGTTTTGAGACAAAGTCTCTCTGTAAACATGTAAGTATCTTTTTGTACATATTCATCTCTTTGTACAGGCCTATTTATTCTTTAATGTACAGGTGTGTTCTTTGTACAGATTTATTCTCTGTACAGATTGTTTTCTTTGTACACATTGTTTTCTTTGTACAGGTTGTTTTCTTGTACAGATTTATTCTTTGTACAGATTGTTTTCTTTGTACACATTGTTTTCTTTGTACAGGTTGTTTTCTTGTACAGATTTATTCTTTGTACAGATTGTTTTCTTTCTTTGTGCACATTGTTATCTTTGTACAGGATGTTTCTATGTACAGATGTGAGACAAAGTAACTCCTTGTACAGATCCTGCAAGCATCTGCATCCAGCGACAATGGAGGCCAGACGGATTCCGTCTGGCCTTCCAGTCGCTTGATGTGCAGCTTAGTGATGTTGAGTGCTGTCGTCAGACCAAGGTCTGATGAGGGCCAGCTACAAGCTTTGATTGCCAAAGCGCCGACAAAGACTCTGCAAGCATCGTGGCTGCCCCCTATATGGGGTGCTTACATTACCTTTAAGACAGCCAAAACATAACCATTTTGCAACCATCCAACTGCGGTTTTATGGTCGCAAAATGACTCTAGATATAACTTGCAGAAATACGATTTAGGATTTCCAACAGAAACATCATCATAGTTTTAGGGCCTTGCATTTGAGCCCACGTAGTGGAAAGGACACCTTAAAAGCGGATATGGGATACCCTCCAAATTGTAACTGCTGGATCTATTATTGGGGTTATTGTTTTGGGGGTATGGGGAGAAACCCGGTTTTATGACAAACCCGGTCGGGGTGGCAGAGGTGCGGGCGCAGTGCCCCATTTTGTTTTGATGGGATGGTGGGCTCCAACCTAGCAGCCCTTACTTTATAGAACATATATTGCTGGATATATATATATATGTATCTATATCTATTGATGGATGTTGTTCTCATCATATATATGTTAAAATCCCTTACTACACCGATAACATATATGGACATAAAAAATGGGAATTTCATCCGAAATCACGATCAGGGGTGAAAAAAACAGAACCCCCAAAATATGCTCGTTTGAGCACTCCCTTTCACCAGCGTGTTTTGCTGCCGTGCCGCTCCGAGCTGCAGCAAGGATCGAACAGCAGGACATGGAAGGCACATCTGGTGACATTTTATTGATATATATATATATATAATTATTTATATTTATATTTATTGATATATATATATATAATTATTTATATTTATATTTATTGATATATATATATACCCAAGATTCCTGGATCCCAAACTGTACCCTTAAGTAAGGATACCAACTTCAAGACACCAACAGATTGTGTTTTCGTTTTTGGGGGGCCTACTGTAGTCCCCATGAATGCTCTTTACGCATCCCGGCCAAGTGTCTTAATTTTACAGGGCAAACCCAATGGATCAATCCCCATTAAACATAGTTACAGGCATCATCGTAGAAATTGGTACCTTAAAAAACATCAGGTTTCTTTATTGTCTCCTACAAGTTTCGAGGGTCGTCTTTGCTGCGCTATGTCACGGGGAGTTCATTGGTGGAAAAGAGCTGGGGCCCTCAGTGCCATGGATCCATGTCTCTAAGTGAGACCAAACACAGGCATAGCTAACCGCTATATACACGGCCGAAAGCACATTGTGTTTTTTTGGCGTTTGGTGTTTGATCTGGTTTGATTTTCTTTGTGACAAAACCGGCACTCTGAATTCCCATCCGTGTCATGTCAGAGAATGGCATCTTAAAAATGATTTTGACCGACGGTTACAAACAGGAAGTTCACACAGGTTTGGCTTTTGATCGTCATTTGGTTTCTTTCCCCGTATGTGTGGAATAAATAGCAAACCAATGAGAAAGTAGATTTGATTGATGTTTGATGATAACATACACGTAGAAACTCTGAACCCCTAACCTGGCGTCAATCCGCCAACCATTCCATGCTGGGCTCAGGCTCGACTCAGGGACCAAGCAGTCTGGTCAAGTTTGAGGCCTCAAGCAGCGCTGCAATCATGCCTGGTTGGATTCAATCGAAACATCCCCAATGAATTGTTTTTCCAAAACTTCGAAATAAAGTGACCGCAGCCTGGCTAAAGGGGAAAAGGCACACACCGTAAAGAATGCCAATATAGTTCAAAGCATTCGTCAAAAAATATAGTCACTTATATATGTGTTTGACGCTTTCCCATTGGTCGATTGCCTGGGTGAAGGAAGGCCCTGCAGGCCATATTTTGCTCAGGTTTCTAGGTCCCCCCAAAAAAATCATGGCGGCAGACCTTGCTTTGGTCCCCGGCGTGCAAGCTGATGATGACATGGGTGTGCCCCGTGTTCGTGGCGAGGATGGTATGCTGGTGGGGTTTGAATGGAAGTCTGTTCGTATCTTGAATGAGCTTCAATGCAATTTTGTTTCAAATCCGACCACTGAAACAATTATCCAAGATCTTTAGAAGTAGAGTTGCAAAATTTGATCCCATACATTCTTTCTTGGAAGATCTATCCCATGAAAAAAAGCTCGGATGAAACTTCACGCTTCCCGGGTCCGCCAAGGACCAGGCCGCATTTGGTGGAACGAAGCGATTGTTGCACCTTGGACCTTGGGATTGTTCACTGGTTTTTTCATAGGACATTTAGAGGAAACACCTGCTCGATAGGGTGGAGATCCCAAGAATGTTGGATTAAATCATTATTGTTTGTCATTGGGTACCTTTAATTAAAGGAATATGTCAAAACGATGCCCAAGTTCCAAATTTGGATACCAACATCTTCAGCCTTGCAAGGCCAGGGTGGCGAACAAGATCATTGCCGGCATGCCCGATCGAGCTCTTGATTTGATCCGGGGAGGGCAATTTCAAGGTGGAGACCTTGTGGTGCTTAAGTCAGAGATTCACAGGCCTTCTTGGCAGGAGAGCATCATAAATCTCAAAAAACATGACACCAAACAGAGGTAGAACCATGATCACTAACAAGCTTTTTATTCTCCAAAAGATGTAGAACCATGATCATGAACCAGCTATTTGATGCCAAAAAAAGGTATAACATGGTGTAACCATGATCATTAACCAGCTATTGGGTTCCCAACAGTTTTGCATCAGGAGATTGGTGCGAACTACGTGTGGCTTAAACCGTTGGTCGAGGAATTCCAGCGTTTTGTGCCGGGATCGTTGGTGCTCATTGACATTCTATTGTATGCCGACCGATTGCTTGATGGCCGTCTTTTTCCCCAAGAGCCCAAACAGACCCATGTTAGCAAGGAGGCATCCAGATTGAAGAAACTGGTCGGAGCACTCCGAACTCTGTATCGGAACAGCACCTCAAATTGAACCAAGACCTTGTTTTTGAATTTTATTTATGTCCCATACATTCCCATACTATTTTTCATGGGTTGTGTGAGGGAATTACAAGTCTGATGATTATCATGTGGTATCCACTGCGCCCCAGGCGATGCCAGCTATTGCCCACGGGTTCACGAGCTGAAGCAAATGCTGTTGCCTTCTCCGTCTTCTGAGGTTCTTTGGATTTCATCAAGAAAATGATTTTGCTGGGTTATAGGTCCAAATCGTTTTGTCTGGGGGATATTCCCTTCAGCTCAGTACCAACCCCTTGCCCATTTCCACTTGTGTCTCCAGGCTCGTGCTCGCAACCGTGCACAAGCCTTGGCAGAATCCCAGGCAGAGGAAAGTGGATCATCTGAGCAGGAGGACTCCAGAGCAATGGGGTGGGGGCATAAATAAATATATATATACACATAGATATTTATATATTTATATATATATATATATTTATATACATAGTCTTATATGTATATACATATATATACATATTTATATATATATATAGAAAGAGAGAGATGTAATTGTATATGTATATATATATCTATTTATCTATCTATCTAATCTAATCTAATCTAATCTAATCTAATCTATCTATCTATCTATACATATATGTATATTCATTTACATAAATATGTTTACATATATATATATATGTATATACATAGTTTGTGAAGACACCAGCACTTGATGGTCAAATCTGTTGAAGTTCTGATGTACTTTCCAACGGTGTTGAATGAATGGGATATCGTTTTTTTCCCCCATTTCAAATCCGTACTTCAATCTAGTGCCATCGCAAGAAAGAACAGGATGAGGGCGACGAGTCCGACCAGTCCAGCGACGTCGAGAACTTGGAGGCCCACCCAGATGATGCGACCACTTTGGCGCTTGGCGAAGTGTCACCTATGTCGGATGTGGAGACTGGGGGCGGTGATGACTCTGACGATTCCAGTGGTGATGATGGCGAGTGTCTCTGCTGGAGGTAATTTTAAAACAAAACACAAGGGGGGTCCAATTCACACATGGGTCATGGTTCAAGGATATTCCAAAAGTTTAGAAAACAAGATTTCAATCAACGAGGGGTCTTGTAATGATGTGCAACACATGTATTCAATATGGGTATTGCTACCACATGTCAAAAGACTTTCAAGATGTAGGTCAAATGATCATTCCAATACGTTTCTTTTGACACAAGTGCTCTTAAAGTGGAGTCAAAATATGATAGATTTAGGGGTTGCGCCACTCAAGGTCCGAGATGTCCAAGGACGAGGAAGAGCAGCCACCGCTGGAGGAATCCCAGTTCCAAGAACAGCAACAGGATGGGGAAATCTTCTTGGGTGTATATTCCATATAGCAAGTAACTGATTCGTGCAGATGGTAAAAGCGGGTCATAATTTGTGAGATGGCCTTCATCCTTGCAGAGTTTACAACCTATCTGGGATGGCTTTCAATTTTGTCAAGTGTACGAACTATCCAGGATGGCCTTCGATTATCTTTTAATTTGTTATGGACTATCTGGGATGGCCCTCAATTGAGTAAAGTATGTATGTATATATATATATATATGATCTATCTGTGATGCACCTCAATTATGTAAAGTTTAGTAACTATATAATACATCCGGAATTCACATCAAAGTTCAATGGGAAGTCAATCGCTATGTCAGATGTTTGTTGACACACCCAGCATCGTCTAAAACAAACATCACCCATGCAGGTTCTAGACCCATCATCCTTCATCCCCTCCGACACGATCCCACCAGGAGTCCAGCTTTTGGAATGGAGATCATGGCCCTCGTGACCCTGAGCTGTCACCCACTCTCTCGCCTGGCTCTCCCTGGGAGCCATGGTCCCGAAGTCAGGTGGTCGCAGCCTTTCTTTGGGAGTGAAACGGGTTGAGAACTCTGACCAGTCCACCAAGTCGGGTGAGGAATCGGGTGAAGAATCTGATGCAACGGATGACGAGAATGTTGACGATGTGTTGCCAGAGGTCAATCCCAAGTCCGTCCCAATGGAGCCCGTTACTCAACTAAAATTACCAAAGGTTACCACTGTTGAACTGTTTGAAGTTCTACTCTCTCCCCAAACCTAAGGAATCTGGTGGGTCGACATTGCAAGAAGCTTTGGGATTGATGGGAATCAAAGGTCCTACCAAGGCTGTGGTGCCACCAGTAGCATCTGTCAAGACGCACCCCATCAAGAAGCCTGAATGGTTTGGCCCTTTAGCAACAAGCCTATTGCAATGTGAACCCCCGGTAGTGGCTGCTAGGTATCACATTGGTAAAGTTTTACTCCGAGTTTCGACTGTGGGTTCAAAGTTAAAGAAGGCATGTGGGCACCACATATCACCACATGGTCCTCACTTTCAAACAAAATCAATACTGGGATCACCGAACTGCAAATATTGGGTTTACCGTGCTGCGCATATGGGTATCCTCAACCTCCTCTTCTCATGTGTGTGGTAAAATAGAATTGGCCATGCGTGTACTGTGTCCTTGTTACTGGTCATGAGCCATTAAGTAATGCCCAGGATGATCATGTCGTGAAGAAAGAGCCCAAGAAGACCAAATCCGGCAACAAGGTGAAGAAGGCATCCAAAAGATCCAAGGCATCATTCAAGCGTCACAACAAGGCCAAGCCGAACAAGAAGGACACGGAAGAGGAGGATGATGGTAAGGCGCATCCTTTGGGGAATCCATCAAGATCTTTTGCATTCTTTTGCCATCTCCCATCAAAACATATGACCTCAAGGTATTGCAGAGGTTTCCCATATCTTTGTCTCAGCTTGGCATTCACACGCGCAACCTGTCCCATCACTGGTTTGAGGCGCCCACATACGGCGACTACAGCCTGGCAGGCATTCCCAAGAATGCATTGCCCCAGGAAGACAGGGCGCACAAAGGCAAGCACAGCTACAGTGTCCACAAAGCCGGCAAGATCATAGAGGTTCTTTTGAGGTCCCAGGCCTATTTTGTTCGGGGAGTAGAAGGAGCTGGAAAGAATGGAATCTTTGTCTTATACGTTCGCAGTTTTAGGTTAGGAATGCTGAAAGTCTTAGGCTAGCAAGAAATCATAAAAACACTAGACCCACTCTTTTTTATATATATGCATATATATGCATATATATGCATATACATACATGTATATATATATATATATACTTACATATTTACATAAATACAAAATACATTTAAATACATATATATATATGTTTATGTGAACACTTCCCATAACTTTATTTGCCGAACTGTGGACAAGACTTCAATCAAAATTGTGGTTGGTTCATGCCCCAGTCCGCTAAGGACAAACGATCGCATGGAAGAAATTCGGAGGCCCCCGAAGTGCATGGATCACGGCCTGCACTCGGGCTGGAATCTTGCCCTGAGCGGAGTGGATTGGCTGTCAACATCACCAAGCTGAGAGTGTCCATGGGAACTTGAAATCTGATAGTTATGAGTATGGCTGTGTGAAACCACGGCATTGTCTTCATGTTATGTAGGGGTCAACGAGATGCACAGCATCATTGCCTAGATGCCCTGGGGTACGCATGCCATGTGATAACACATGCATAATGCGCAAACAAGTCTGCGGCGTCGATGAGAAAAAAGTTTGGACAACAGTTGGTCATTTTTAGCGGATCCTTTGCTCAGTTGAAGTTTGTTTGACAAGACTGTTTGAAAATTTGGGCCTGGAGTGAGATTGAGATTGTATCGTGTTGCCACAACATCTTTGATTGAGAAATTTTCGAAAACCGACCGGCAAGCGAGCTGCCTCCAAGCTTTCCAAGCAGCATGCAGAGAAGTTCGGACCTCGTAAGCAGCTGAGCCCCAGGGATGCCAAGCGAGTGTCAATCTTGGCTGGGCTACGCATGATGCGGGCTCCAGCTGTGCCCTGATTGGAAAGTGGTAGCTGGAATTTCTAATGTTCCTATTCCTATTGGTTTGGTACCCCAAAAAGGTCCCCACAGAAAATTGTGGTATTCACAAGCTTCATATTTTCCCATTGGCTTGGCATTCCAAAATCTGACCCCCCCAAGTCTACCCCCAGTAACCTTTTTTCCTACAGGTTTGCTACAGTTTTAATTGGTTGGGGGGGTCAGATTTTGGGGTGCCAAACCAATCGGAAAATTGTTGTCACAAGCTAGTAACTCTATACCTATACATGCCAATGGACTGTATTGATGAATGACTTCAGTGCAGCAGGGGTTTCGCAATCGGATCAACCTTCTGAAAAAACCAAGTTAGATCCAACGATATTATTTTAAAGTCTTCAGTGGTTTTTGGAAATCTTTGGAATGTGGCATTCTTAATCGGGTTTTGAACCCCCAACAGTTCAACAAACAAACAAAAGGGCATACCATGAGTATGACTAATCATCGGTTCCGGGGTGTGCCAACTTGATAAATCAAGGTACGACTGTTTGCCCCACAACTTCCCAAACTATAATAGTATGCCTGCCGGTCTGACCGCTTGACCCTTGCTATCGCAAGCCTCGATTTGAGGTTGTGGCGCTTTTGGTGAGCTTGGTGTTCAGCTTGGACCTGCACCACGCAGCAAAGGACCAGCTAGATCACTTGGAGCTGTTTGCAGGTGACCTTTCCGTTACTACAGGAGAAATGCAGGCTTGGGTCCCATGATGAAATGTCAGACCCATGATCTGCAAATAATGGGTTTCCGCCACCTCCAAACCAAAATTGGGCATATCCTACAGATTTTCTGGGTGGGGATACAGCTTCTTCAATTTGAAAAGGCCACATTAATATGGAAACCACATCCAATACCAACACAATTCTTTACTGACATATGTTCACCGGTTGGGGAATGAATTGTTCCTGAAAGGAAGGACGATCGGCTTTGGGCCTGGATATCAGGTATGACAAGACAATGGATATTACCTCCACGGAGGGGTTCATCGCAACATTGCATGCTGCAACACGTTTGAAACCTGGAAGCGGGTCGCTTGCAGCACCCGTCTGCAGTAGTTGGGTCTTCATGCCCCTTTGAAAAACATTGGTATTGTTTTGTTGTCGGTATATGCATGGAAATGTATTGGTATTTGTATATTTGTTTTGTTATTATGTATATGTATATATATGTATGTGTGTGTGTATAGACATCTATATCTATTCCCCCAAGATGTCCATCTTTAGACAGGTGACCCATTTTGAATCCAAAGAAATGGAGGGAATGGACATAACACGAATGGACTGACAGTCATTCAGTCTCTATGGGACTTTTCACGAGCAAAGGAAACCCATTAAAAGTTTGTATACAGTGGTTTGATTCAACCAGAAAAATATCTTAAGGTCGAGAGGCTCTACTCAAAGAAGCGCAGCCGAGCCATTGGGGGCTGAAAGATTTGAAAGTGTGCAACTTGGAAATTGGATATGTGCAAGGACGCTGGTGGTGTTGCTGGTGGCAGCAGCCTTGCGCTGCTGGACTATCCTAGAGCAGCCGAAAGGTAGCCTCATGGAGATGCACCCGGCATTTCAAGAATACCTAGGTTTGGTAAATTGCTGGCGAGCCCACATAAACATGAGCACCTACGGAGGTCCTACGCTCAAGCCAACCTGGTTGTATTCAACCCGGCCAATGATAGACCAGCTGCATTCCTATCGACCACTTCGTTTGAGGAACACCAACACTGAAGACCCTGTTGAAATGGTTGTTCATTACACTGACGGAAGCGGACGGGCCAGAGTCAAAGGAGGAAAGCACTTGAAACAGTCACAGTCATACCCTCGTGGGTTTCTTGCCTTCATGGATGTATTTTTTATTTTTGAAATATCACCTTGCCCCCAATCATGGTTTTCAATTTGCTGCCCGGCCTTCTCGTAGAAACTTCTTCCTTTCTCGCGGAAATTTCTTCCTGCATTGAGGTTTGGCAAAGCTCTGGCGCGGTTGAGATCCGAGTATGCTCCCCTTTTGAAAAGGGAAGCTAGGAAGGAAATTCGGGCTTCCCTGGTTGAGTACCGCAAAATTGCCCGAAACACCAGGGCAAATGCTAGGTGGATCAAATGGGCAAATTTACAACCGGTCTTGGACCACTTGATGTAGAAGCAACGCTGGATGATTGGGTTTCCTCAAACCTATGGTGCTTCAGCTTTCAATTCAGAATGTAATTAGCATTCAACGTGCCAACTATTTTGGTTGGAGCTGTGATGTCATGCCAGACACTCACCAAGAAGGCTGATTTGAGGGGCGATCGGAAAAGTGGTTGGAACGCGGCCCTTCATCTTGGTTGTACTTCCTCTGATCCATTGTTGTAACGCCTTCTGGAAATCGACAATCCCCTTGATAAGCTGGTGTTGGAATGAATTTCATTTCCATAGACCCAATGTTTGATGAGATTACCCCATTCGCTTATGAACCGCAGCATCCAGCCAGGCTGATATGTCTGCGGTGCCCTTCAGCTTCAAAGTCTTCATGTGGAAGAGGCTCCTGGTGCATGCGCGGCTTGCCATTATCCTTTTTGCACAGAGATAGACCCATATAGGGATGGGTCTATTGTCTTTGGGGGTGAAATGGATTAAACATGATAATCCCAAAAGAGGGGCACAATGGTCAGATCCTGACACTTTTGTTTGGCATGGTGTATCTTCATGGGTATGGATCCCTCAAGAATGCGCAGTTCAACATCCAATAAAACAAATCAACAGCATACATATTATTGGGATCATCGGTTGGGGGGCTAAGAATTGCCCATAACCATATATACCTGTATGCAGAGGGGATGTCAACCCTTTAGTTTTCGGCAGTCCCATCTTAACTTTATATCTTTAGTTCCTTAGACACCGTGGGCAGCATCTTGAGGCGCGTGATTTGAGAAGCTTTGCAAAACAGCACCAGTAGCCCGGGCACCCAGTTTGAAACGTCAAGGGGTCAAACTTCAAAGACCGCTCAATTGAGCAAGATTCAAGGTGTCATGCACACAGGTACACAAGGACTATGAGTAGAAGGAAAAACAAGATGGCAGTACACACTTCAGTGGTGATGTTGGAATCTTTATGTAGGTACACGTGTCGGTTCGTAGTTCAGAAAATATGTGAATATATGTCAATACAAGTCTCAGATTTGAATGTCATCCTCCTTCCACCTGTAGAGTCAGCTTGACCTACTTGTTTTCTGACTGGGGCCTAGGAATGCCTCGTTTGGTGATCAAAAACGCCATCAAAGGTGCCTTCTGCCCCGCACCCGCCGTGCCAGCTGGATGTGTTGATGGGAATGCGTCTATCTGTGGAATACCATTTGATAAAATTCACATTCAACTGCTCTATCTCTAATCAAAACCAAATTGTTAAAATTTTACATTTTTTTTGGTTATGGTGATCAGAAAATGCTGCGAAATGTTGAGAAAAAAGTTGCGATTGGTGCAGAAATGTTGCGAATGGTATTTCCAAGTAAATATCAAGATGAATTGCATCATCATATATCGCCAGATATCTCTCAGCACCCTTGCCCTGGTGAGAAAAATGTTGCGGTTTGTAGCCACATATGCCTGATTCAATATCATCAGAAAATCTTCTGGGAATATGTTGCGAATGGTATATCCATGTACTCTCCACACACATCTTCCCTGGATTTCCCTGCTGTCCTTTGAAGTTACATTTTGGCCTCAGCAGGCTGCCGTTTTGATTCACCCGAGTTGAAATTTGGGTATGGCTCTCAAAGAGAAAGGCAAAGGATCCGTAAAGAAAGGCATTTTAAAGAATGCTGCAGGATCAAAGAAGGCAAAGGAGAAGAAGGAGAATAAGGTTCCGAAAGACAGGAAAACACACCCCGTTTTTGCCAAAGCAGAAGCGAAGAAGGCTGAGGTAGAGAAAGTCAGGAAGAGCAAAGAGCGGGCTGGGGCTGCAAAGTCTTCGGGAGGTCATGGCAAGAAAGGGAAGAAGGCAGACGCTATCCCTAAGAGCAAGAAGGCTGAATTGAGTAAAGAAAAGAAGAAACGTGAAGAGAAGTCAGAGAGCAGGACAGGAAAGAAGGCCCACCCTGAGAAGAAGACAAAGCTGTCTGACCAGAAGAAGAAGACCAAGGAAAGAGATAGCAGCAAAGAGAAGAAAGCAGAGGTGAAAGAAAAGACATCAGAGAAAGGTGTCCGTGAGAAGGAAAAGGGACATAAGGTCAATGCTGATGATGAGACGACCGCAGTTGAGAAGGCTGCAAGAGATGCAGGCAAAGGCAAGGACAAGGAGAAGCATACTGATGAGAGTTACAAAAAGAAGGCAGAGAACGTAGACGGCAAGAAACGTCGCAATTCAGAGGAGAAGAAGGAGAAACACAGGAAGAAAGAGAAGAAGGAGAAGAAATTGAAGGAAGAACGCAAGACAGAAGAGGAGGAAGAAATGGATGTCGCCTCTGAGGAAATCATCCCAGTGAAGGCAGCAGACAAGCCAGTGCTAGCACTGCCTGCTCCCTCTGAAGCAAGCACCAGTGTGGGATGCTCAACCCCACCGTCCACCCATCGCTTCAATTCACCTACTCCGTCTTCAACCTATGAAAGGTTTGAAGCAGAAGCTGCAAAGAAAGGTATTGAACTGGAAGAATACATGATGCAAGTGTCCCAAGACAGCTTGACAGCAGCAGTCGAAGCAAAGATGGCAAGCTTAGTCAGACAGAATCAAGCCAAGGAGGACACAGAAGCAAATGAAGCAAAGGAGAACACAGAGACAAGCTTAGTCAAAGCGAATCAAGCAAAGGATGACACAAAAGAAAAGGGAGACGAGGCTTCAGAAGATGACGAAGAGGAGTCAGAAGAAGAGGAAGGAAAGGGAGATGAGGGCCAGGGTCAGGTTAATGAAGGTCAAGGTTCGGGCTCCAGCAGCGCAGATGAAACCTCAAGCGAAGTTTCGTCAGAAAGTTCCGATGAAGACAATGGGGTGGAGGAGGAAGCAGAGGAGATCTTAGAGGCTCTCATGGACGATGATGATGATCATGAGAGTCAGGAGAGCGAAGAATCGGAAGAGGAGCAGGACAAAGAAGACACGGAGGGAGATGAGACACCTGCAGGAAGGAAGGTAAGCTTTGAGGAACCAGTACCAAAGGCAGCCAGCACACCAAAGGCAGCGCTTGCTCTCAAGGATGCAGTGGACAAGCAGGAGGCAATCCGGAAAGAGTATGCCAACGCAAACAGAAACTAGCCCACAAAGAATCAGCAGCAATCGTTTGTGTTTTATTGCTTCACACTGTGGCAAATTCCTTTTCCCAAAAATCTGGTAGGTGGAGATACAGTTATTGATTTACAGAAAGATGTAGACGGGGAAAAAGAGTGGCTTATGTAGGTGGATGTAAATATCTGTGCTTATAGATGTATGTACATCTATCTATATCTATATATATATATATATATGGAATTAGATTTTGATTTAGCCAAGGGATATATATATATATGTAGGTATAGATATAGATTGAACTATTGTAAAAATATGGACATAAATACAGATAGAGATGAAGAGTCTATAAATAAATATATATATATGCATACATATCATATATTCATATATTCATAGATGTAGATTTATCCCTGGGTTTGATTCTCACTGGCCTTTTCGCCCAAGGTGTGTCTCATAAGAAAGAATGGGACAAATTCAGCAGGCAGTGCGTGGGGTCTAAGTTCCCAGTGGCTCTTGCTGCGCACTATTTGCGTGACAAGCAGGACTTGTTTCGGGCTTGGCTGTCCAACAACGAAGACTGGAGTAAGAGTCTTGGACAATTTGACTACCCTTGGTTCACAAGTCTTGTAAACCATATTCAGAATCTGGACAAGTTTAGAAAGTAAAGCAATTCAGAGTCTGGACAAGTTTAGAAAGTAAAGCAATTCTTTGGTGACAACTTCTCATCCCATTAAGCCCTTAGTGTTTCCACCCAAGGACAGAAGTTCATTTCGAACGACGGGCCGAAAAGAAGCACACCAGCCATAAAGAACGGGAAGGATTGAAAGCGAGGGATATTCACTTGAAGTATCCTGACAAGGCCAAGGCCACGGCACTTATCGATCGTCTCACCAAAGCTTGCACGTTCTATCATGACCCAGACTTTCCGAACGACAAAGAGGAGCCAAAGTTCCCAAAGTGTTTCTCACAACCTTGCCCAAATTGGAATGACAAGTCCAATCATTTTATTTTATCCGAACTGTTTGTTACACAGCAGTGCTATGTCTCAAGATCTTTCAAGACTAGGGTCCTTTCCTTCATCCTATTTTTATATTTACATCAATACATAGTTGCAAAAGAAATCAAATATATGTGTATAGATAGATAGATAGATATATATATATATATAAGTATGTGTTTCGTTTGTGTTTGGTCATCTTATCTATCCAGTCAGCCTGCCATTCTACCCATCCAGGAAATCTACTACTACGTCAATCAGGGTTCCAAGCTGATGACTGATGACATCACGGCTGACTCCACTACCGTTACGGGTGTCGACAAAGGAAACAGGGAGCTTGTTGAGGCCTTGACGTGTGAAGGTGGATTGCTGGCTGTGGGTGCTCTCCCTGCACCTGATGTTGCAACAGCGGAAGGCCAGAAAAATTTGTTGGAGGCGATGGCGGGAAGTGTGGCTGAGGCCCCCAAGAAAAAGCAAAAGGCACCGGGCACCACCACAGAAGAAGCGGTGCCAAAGACTTTTGAAGAGTGGCTTGTTCTTTCAACCCAAGTCTGGGATGTGCATTCCCAAATGACCAGTTAATCTATTTCCCTTTAGCTTGGGTTTCCAAATTCTAAGGGATTTTGCCCATGGAAAGAAAACCAACACATGTGGGATCTGAGTTGGGGGAGTCACTGATTTTAGAATATGTAAGTATAATACATATGTCACGTATTTACATGTATATACACACGTATACACACAGATACATACATATATATATACATATATACAGATATATTTGCAAATAATTGCAAATACATCTATGCATACATCTATCCATGCATCTATATATAGGGCAGAATTTGAGAATCCTCCAATCATTGGGAAGGTCATGGGAATCACCGAAACCATGTCAACATGTGATGGGAAGTTGTGGGAACCACCCAAACAGTTTACAGATGTAAATTGGGGAGATTGTGGGAATCGCCCAAGGATGTTCAAAATATGCCTGGGACAATTGTGGGAACCACCCATTAAGAAATTGAATCATCCAAACATTTTCAAAATATATATGGGGAAGATTGTGGGAAGCATCCCCCTAGGTTGTGGGGAAGGGCTTGGGAACCACCGAAACATGTTGACATGTAAATGGGGACGCTTGTGGGAATTGCTTGGACCTAAGCGAATGGATATTGTTATCCTGAGACTGGCCCAAACATTTTCGGAATGAAAACGGTCGTAAGCCTATTAGTTGGGGTTTCTCCTGGGTGTTGTCCCACCAAAATCAAACTCCTAGTTTGGGATGTTTCGGATAGCTACCCCAACATAGTGAAATATCAAGTGGGAATGTGGTGCAATCCTCTAATCAACACCCTCGTGCCCCAGGATCCTTGACACCAAAATGGAGGAGTGCCTCAAAAAGTCTGCGGACGGTCGCAAGTATGCGGTGGCCTTGGGTTCGCTGGAGTACAGCGGAGATTTGTCAAAGGAATTGATGACATTCTCCACCAAGTTAGAAACTGTGTTCCAGAAAATGCAGGAATTGCGGTCCCAGGGAAACAAAGACGAACGTGTGTATTCAAAGTTCTTTCAGATCTTGGACGACAAATTCTCTTGGTATCAAAAGGCGGAGGCCAGGCCACGGTCTTGCACTGTGAATCGTCAAAATCTAAAATGTTCAACAGTGGTCTCAACATGGCTCTTGTCCTCATTACCCCAAATGCCCACATGGTTCAACATATTGTGGGTGGAAAAACTTGCGCCACCTTGTATGGTTGAAACTTCAAAAGTATTGGGATAAACTCAGGTAAACCACCTATTAACTGGTATTTCCTCCACCCAGTGTTGAAACTTCAAAAGTATTGGGATAAACTCAGGTAAACCACCTATTAACTGGTATTTCCTCCACCCAGTGGGTCATCCTCTCCATGCCCTGTTCCAGGCTGCAGCCAAAGGTTTGCAGCAAGGACTGAGCGCAAAGCCCAAAAAGGGGAAAGCAAAGGCCAAAGCGAAGTCAGAAGCCAAAGCACCTGACCCGGCCAAGTGAGCTCGCACCCCATCGGGAATCAGCTTCGGATCTTTGAAAACAAATGATCTCAATATGTTTTCTTCATGTGTTCAATTCTCATAGATGGTTCAACTGTCGTCTTGAGTCCGATGTGCGAGATGGACACCATGCCACCATGAAAGATGGGGTGTGGTCTTTTGTCAGCTGTGCGGCCCCGGTAGCCCGGGCTGCTTAAATCTGTGGGTGTGCAATCATTGGCCCCATGAATTTAGTCCAACATGACCATTCCTTGTAATTTTATATCAAGCCACAACAATATCAAACAATTCTGGTTATTCCATGTCATTCCATACCATTTGGGGGTGATGGTTGCCCTTAGGGAAAGATTCATGAGCAGTCTTTGGGAGCGTAGTCCATGGCTTTGAGGAAAGTTGCGAGTGAAAAATATGTAGTACCATTTTCCGCAGAGTCAAAACTGGTATACCCAACAAACTTGGTTCAGCCGGTGCACCCATCGCAGGTGTCCAGAAATGGCAAAGTTGTACACCCAAAAGGCAGGGTCTGCGTAACCAAATCCACTTGCATGTATCTGCCAGAAAATGTGGGACTACAAGTAGAGAAACCAAGTGCTGTTATTTAATGGAAATGTTACTATCCTATTTTGAATAAATTGGGGATGAGTATATGAGGGCGTCAATAAACTAGAGTTGGGTGATGGATTTTCTTCTGGTAGGCGGCCTGCCTATGAATCGCTGCAGCGGAGTGAGACTGCTGAGATGTACCTCCGTTCCTTTTCAAAATTAGAATTGGTTGACAACATTCACTCCTTGGGGGTTGTATCTAAATAAGAATGAACCACATTGGTTGCTGGAATTTCCTTGCCCTGGACCAACCCTGAAAGTCAGTTGCATTGAGCCTAGGTATGGTTGGATGCGGTCGCGCCAACATTGCTGAAGTTGCTGACATGGCACGGGCCAACATTGCGGACAACATTCCGAGCGAAGCCTTGCGATGCTTTGCAAGTTTGGGCGCTTGTGGGGCCAGGGAATCCAATCAAGAACGAGACTTGCATCGTTGGGTCAAATCCCTCTACGGCTGTGGATTGGAACCTTATTTTGTCCCCATGGAACTGAACGCTTCTTAGCCTAACCTGAATGGATGCTTCAATTTGCATCTGCTTTCCAATAAATACTTTTATGTAGATGGGGCAAATGGAATATTCATTCTTTGGTCAACCACTTAAAATCTCAGGTTCCAGGCAAGCGAACGACTGTGGAAGTTCAAGTACCAATGTTGCTGCCCCATGAAGTGCTTCATGAATTGCATCAAGCAGGGAGCTTGCAGGCAGGGATGTTTGGCAAAAAAACGGTTTGTAGTCAGGGTGCCAATGGTACATGTGAAATGTGTTTGATATTAGCTGTTTACCCTGCAGTTCTCTCGATCCATGACTGGCTACAAGTCAAGCCAAAGCATACGTGATTTCTGGAACCACTGTGCTTCACTTAAAGAGTGGGCTGACCATCCAGCTCTGGTTTCGGGCGTGGCGCGTGATTGCGACTAGGTCTTGATAAATAGACATATATATATATATATATCTGGGTGTGTGTTTTGTTTTTGTTTGCAATTTGTCAGGTGATGCATTTCATTGGTTTTCATTGTATGCCATTTGTTTGTATCCTTTCATGTGGCATCAACCAAGGCCTGATCCCTTTGGCAATACACTGTGATGGGGCAGAGTTTTATTCCAACTCCGAGTATATGGTATGGAGCATTGGGTCATGCCTGGTGGAAAACGACCATGTATTTGACACCAAATTTGTCACCTGCTGCCTTCCGCATGAGGCAATGCAATCAAACGATGTGTTTTGGTCTGTAAATGTGCATTATTTTCGTGAAGGATGTGTTGTTTATACATGTTTTTTGATGTGCAAGTGTTTTCCCTAGCCCTCACCTCGTGCTGCTGTAAGGTCAAAGACGCTTGTCACCACTTGGTTGCGCAAGTCATGGCTTGGTCTTTTCAATGTGCAACTTCAGGCATTGGTCCATCAAAAGGTTGCTTTGGTGAAGTTCTTTCTGGTCAGCGGGCGAAGCTGGCTAATTGTGAGCTTGCTGGGGGATGGAAGGCTGCCTACTTTGGCTCTAAGTATGATGCAAAAGCACGGAAGGAAACCAATAGGTTTCCCCGAAGTTACCAGCACAGTTGGGTATGTGAAGCATGCTGTGCCCAAAGGAAACACAAAGGGTGGAATAGTTGTATGACTTACCAAAACTTTTACCCACAAGCGATCCACCGCATGACCCCCATCAGTACCTGGATGAGGAATTTGGATTATAAGTTTTATGTGTTTTGCTTTTCATTACCTGAACAAATCAAAAACTTCCAAACCCAAATCAAACCCTCAGGGCGGCATTCAAAAAACTAGGGGAATGGTTCTATTGATTGATGAATGTTTTTTTTGGAATTAATTATGGAAATGACTATGGGAATGACTCAGGGAATTTCATTTCAGGGTTTTTGATTCTTCCAACATCCATCCACCCCCGAAAGATATGTTGTTCTTGCTGACAGGGGATTGTCGTTTTTTTCCATGGAGGTATCTTTCAAACATCTAACAAGGTCATTCTGATTACCTTCGGGGACACCATGCGTTAAGCCCATGGCTGGAAGTACCTGGTTGGAAATTGGAAACATGTTGGCGAGACCCCATGCACACTTTGTTCCTGGGTACTTGTCGTGATCTACATGCATCAACTCTGGGATACTGGCTTCGAACTGGATTATTGGGAGTTGAAGGAGACTGGAACCAACAGTTGCGACAGATTTCGTTTATGCTGAAACAAGATTGTCGTAGAGCTGGGACCCTTTGCCTTGCCATTTTTATTGCAAAGCAATTTTATTCCTTTCGTGGGCAACCCAATTTGCTGTATATAAGATGGGTTTTGATCACCGACAATGCAGTCGCAACGTAAGGATACGGGTCACTTTCAAAACCTTCACCATGTCGAATACAGGGTTAGATACGCAGAGCCAGTTTCCGGAATTGGGGTCAGCATTCAAAGCGGCTTTCATCAAGAGCTCATGTTGGTGGTTCGCCCAGAAGGCAACAGAAATTGCCAACTCCCGTCCTGATGAGTCCTAGCATGTCCTAGCACTTGAATTTTGATACTTTGGATATGGAGATTTGATCATAAGTAATTGCCTCTTTGAATGGTTAGAAGGGATCCCCAAATCGATGTTGGAAATTCAAAACATTTTTGTCCCAAGGACCACTTCTGCCGGCTCATCGCGTTGACCCATTGGCACCTCCATGCCGCAGTGTATGGAATGGACCATGCTGACATACTCTTCGAAGACCAGGAAGCGCAGGACCTCCGGTGGTGATACCAATTGCATTTTTTTTCAAGAGAGCACCCTGGGATATCCAGAAGTACCAACTAGCCGACCCACTTGTGATGAGCAAAATAAGTCATTTGGAATGAAGCATGCAACAAGTCTTGTTATCATGATGAATCTTTGCACCACTTTTGCAACCAAGATACTCCTTGGTTTCCCTTACACCAAGATAAATGCCATTGCTTAACCCGCTTAATCCCCGTTTTGTGGCAGGAGTGCAGCTGGAATTTGCAAGTCCATCTGATTTCGTGGCAGAACTTGGCGCACCTGTGTATGCAGCAAAAAATGTTTCTGTACAGGCTTCGACCGAAGCACCATTCGCTGGATCATATCCAAATGGATATTGCCAGGACCAAACTCAACCCTGCAAGAATCAGCTCTTGTTTTTCCGATGAATCTTTTTTGGGTTACCTCAAAAGAATTGGGGTGCGATGTCACAGCAGCAACATGATGCTGCGTTTGTTGCAGAGGTACATCTTGTTCCTCAGCCTAAGATGGAAAGATTCCCGCACTAAGTGACATGGGGTCCTTTGTGCAAGCCACCAGTCCCACGGCCCAGTGAAAATCTGTCAGCGGTGCCTCATTGATGTCCCATCCACTGCCCATACATTGCCGCGGTGTCGTAGTTTTGGATGTTTTGTCAAATTGCTTTGTTCATTTTTGATCCAATACATCAAGGTGGATCTTGGAATCCGAACTGGCAAATGGAAATCATCAGACCTTGTATTGTTTGGGTACAGATTTACGCATGTGAGATTTTGGTTTGATCACTGGATGGTATTCCAACCCTTCCTGAAATCAAGTCGGCGTTGGCCGGCGGGTTGCTGTTTCTTGGTGCTTTTATTCATGATAGTATGTGGGGTTATCCCTATATATATATGTTTATAATCATGTTGGGATGTTGGGGCGCCACCATTTTGAGAACCGTCCACTATACATTAACCCCTCCACCACCATTGCCACATAAAACTATTGGATAAACACCCCAAATCGATCCCCATATTTATTCCTACTTCTTGTATTAATTACCCATATTTCCCATATTAGATCCCATGTCTCCTGTGTCATGTGGGTAATGCCATCGGTTTTTACAACCATATCTATATGTGTTGCCATTGGGTTCAGTAACCTCATCTTAAAATACAACAACAACAATCCTTTGGGGGCGACCGGAAATGTAATTCCAAATGCAACACATGAATGGCAATGAAAACAATAAGCACCTTACTATTTAGATGCATTTTTCCGCATTGCAATTTATAAGCTGTGCGTTTGAAGTTGCGCAGCTGGTCCAATCAACCAGCATGGAACAGCAAATCAGGGTTCTCTTCCTCAATTTTTTCATGTTTAGTGGACCTGAAATTTTCAGGTGCATGTACACTTGGAATTTAGCTGTGGCAGGACCCCTGCATGTGAAACCAAATCAACCCGTTGTTCCACACAAACAACAAAATAACACACATATATATATATACACACGTATTTATATATTATATATATATTGTATACATCAAGATATGCATATATATATATATGTATACATATGTATGTATGTATGGATGGATGTATGTATGTATGTATGCATGTATGTACCTATGTATTTATGTATGTACCTATGTATGTATGTATATATGTATGTATGTATGTATGTATGTATGTATGTATGTATGTATGTATGCATGTATGTATGTATGTATGTGTTTCCACCTATAGTAGTGGTGCACCATTGTTTGAGAAACCAACATATGATAATGTGTAAAACCATTGCAGAAGATAATCTTAACATTTGTCTAACCAGGTTGTAAGACAACTTCATAAAACAATCTTCGGTTTCGTTTGGGCTCGCAGGTGGTAAAACAACTTCATAAGACAACGTTCGCTGTCGTATGCGCTCGTAGATGGTAAAACGATTTCATAAGACAACCTTCGTTGTCGTATGCGCTCGTAGGTGGTAAAACGACTTCATAAGACAACCTTCGCTGTCGTATGCGCTCGTAGGTGGTAAAACGACTTCAAAAGACAACCTTCGTTGTCGTATGCGCTCGTAGGTGGTAAAACAACTTCATAAGACAACCTTCGCTGTCGTATGCGCTCGTAGGTGGTAAAACGACTTCATAAGACAACCTTCGCTGTCGTATGCGCTCGTAGGTGGTAAAACGACTTCATAAGACAACCTTCGCTGTCGTATGCGCTCGTAGGTGGTAAACAATTAAAAACAATCGTTTGGGTTAAACCATTTCCGTTCTCGTTTATGTCATGTTTCATGAAACACATACTACCCATATATACATACATACATATATATATATACAAATATATATATATATATACAAATATATATATATATACAAATATATTTATATATATACATATATATATACATATCTTTTTTCTTCAACGCGTAAAGTCGATGGAAACTTCCGCAGACCCACGGAAACTTCCGTAGACTCACGGAAACTTCCGTAGACTCACGAAGTCCTTCGTAGACTCACGAAGATTTTCCATATACACACGAAAGCTTCCGTAGACTCACGGAAGCGTTTTACTCGTAATGCTGTCGTATGTTGTCGGTGGTGTCCTTTGCGCAACGTTGGAGCCTTACGGTGGTGTTTTGGCCCTGCGAGGGGGTCCTTGGCCCGGAGCTGTGCAAGATGAAAGTTGGCAGGCAAAGTCAAGGCTTGGAGCTAGTTTCTAGTTGGTTCAGAAAGTGACGTTTGGCACTTCGCGGACCCGATCCGTCCTTCACTGCCATGGTGTTTTGGCCCTACGAGGAGGTCCTTGGCCCGGAGCTGTGCACGATGAAAGATGGCAGGCAAAGTCAAGGCTTGGAGCTAGTTTCTAGTCAGTTCAGAAAGTGACGTTTGGTACTTTGGGCTACGGGCCGCGGGCCCGATCCGTTCTTCACTGCCATGGTGTTTTGGCCCTGCGAGGGGTCGTTGGCCGGGAGCTGTGCAGGATGAAAGTTGGCAGGCAAAGTCAAGGCGTGGAGCTCGTTTCTAGTCGGTTCAGAAAGTGACGGGCCCGAGAAGTCCTTCACTGCCATGGTGTTTTGGTGTTTTGGCCCTGCGAGAGGGTCCTTGGACCGGAGCTGTGCAAGACGAATCCCCCCTAAAATCCTTCAGCCTGCTGGGGTTTTCACGTTTTTGGGGGTTCGGCGTGGGAAAAAAGATGGTAAAATTTGAAGATGCGTTTTGGAGGTCCTTGTTGGGCGTTTTTTGGTCGTTTTTTGGTCAATTTTTCATATTTTTATGGTACTGTCCACGTGTAAAAATCGTGTAATTTACAATGTTTTTGTGCCTTTGGCATCCAAAAAAAGCTTCTGACAACATGCAGGAAACTGCGTAAATACCAATGTTTTTGCTAGGCCCGGGCCACAAAACACTGCAAATACCGTGATTTTTGCTAGCAGAGGCTCAAAACCTCGTAAATACCGTGGTTTTGCGTTGGCGCGGAGCCAAAAACATCGCCGAGAATGTGAAAAATCGCGAAAACACCGCCTATGTGACGCTTTTTGGGGGTTTGCAAAAACCGTCGCTTTGACGATTTTGGGGAGTTTGCAAAAAGTACCAACTACAAAGATAACAACGACAACGACAACAGGACCAAGCAGCAACAGCTATAACAACAATAACAACAACGACGACGACGACGCCGACGACGACGAAGACGACGACAACAACGACAGCGTCGACAACGACGACAACGACGACAACAAGGACAACGACAACGACAACGACAACAAGAACAAGAACGAGAACGAGAACGAGGACCAGAAGCAACAACAACAACAACAACGACGACGACGACGACGACGACGACAATGACGCTGACGACAACGAAGATGCAGCTCGCAGCATGTCATGTCCGCAAGTTCAGATGAAATCCCCCTCTCTCTTTCCCTCCCCCGACCCCTACAGGCATCGCCGGTGTGCGAAGCTCTACAATTAAGTCTATATATATATATAGTTGCTTGTGATTGTATACTTCAGGTGTTCGATTTAGCTCGCGGTTTTTGGACCAAGAATGCCTAAACGGCGGTGATCAAGACTGCTTCAAGATTAGGGATGAGTTGGAAGAATAATCAAAATAATCCAATTCTGACACTTTTTTGCCGGGCCTTCAACAAACCGAACCGTTGGGAATATACAAACGTCGGAAGCAAGAATCTGGGTGTCTCTCCGTCCTGCAGAGCATCTCGTGTCTTTCGTCAGTCAGAGGCGACTGCAGCAGCTCGAGCGGTGAAAGATCATTTCTTCTTCTTCTTCTCCAGGTCATCCGACGAGCTGCTCCAAGAGTGGCTACCACTCCAGGAGCCTCCGCTGCTCCAAGAATGGCTGCCACCAAAGGAGCCTCCATCTGTGGCGCCATCAAGTTCTCCATCCCCACCATCATAGCTTCCGCCATACGTCACGTCGCCACCGACCATGTGTGCATCCCCACCATCGTAGCTTCCGCCGTAAGTCACATCGCCACCGACCATGTGTGCATCCCCACCATCGTAGCTTCCGCCGTAAGTCACATCGCCACCGACCATGTGTGCATCCCCATCATCAATGTCGGAGCTGCCAGAGTGGTAGTGATGATAGTGGTGGACGTGGACAACGGAAGGACTCTCCTGAGCCATCCATCCAAATTGAATGTTGAGAGGATTGCATCATATGAATCGTATTGCATCCTGTATGCAATGATTGTTTGATTCATTCTGCGAGCATCTTGACTAAGGAGGTACAGCAAATATTCCATGAAATATCAGCCTTCAAAATTCAATAAGTCAAACTTGTAAGTGCCTGCCTTTTATGCTGAGTCAAGTCCCAAGAAAGCTGTGCATATCGGCAGTTTGACTGGTCCTTGGTCCTTTCGGCTTTGTTTCAGAGAGTCAAGGGCAGAGCTCTCTTCAGAGGAAAATAAATTCAGATGTTCCACAGACCGAGAGTGGTCACAAAGTTCGCTTGCCCTCTCAATCTCAAAATCATAAGTTGGTGCAAAGTAAATCTACCTCTTTTACAGTCTTGGCAACCCGATGCCCGATGTCATGTCCAATGTGTTCTCATCCCTATGGCTTAGAAACAAGAACACATACTGAGACTTCTGCGCACTCCAGGTATCATCCCTCATCCATCCCAACAATCTCTGTAAAATCCCGAATCTGCCGGGGATCCACATAGGAATGGCCATGTCCAACGTGCTCCGTCACATGAGTCACGATGCTCTTGGTAAGTCCGTCACCATGCCAGGTGCCAGCACAACCCTTGGACGTGTGGGAACAGCACCAGCTCCTGGGTCCAGAGTCGCAAGTTATGGGAGAGACCCCCAAGTTATGGCTATTTTAAGCTATTTCTATTGGGAAAATATGGGCCAGACGGGGGCGACCCGGGTAATCTACCACTTCGCGCTCCTAGGTGCTTCCATTGGTGATGATGCTTTCTGCTCTGAACACACCGCGAGGCGGGTGGAGACCGTCAAACCACAATAGTGAGAGGACATGTCGAAGTCGAATCGGTTTTATAATATCCCTATTTGGGGTCCCTGGATGAGATTCCAGGAGTTTGGCCCAAAAAATATCCAGGGCCACTAGGGCCCTATCAGTTATACCAATGGTGCTCCAGCCTCACCATGAGGAGTTTTATCCACGGACATCTTTCAAACATTGTATATTCACTTACCTGGTGTCTATGAATTTTATTTGCCAACACTTGTCCAAAAATTGTTTCTTCACTTAACTCAGCACTATGAATCTTATTCACCGGAAATCCCTGGGTCATGTCCCTGGGGATTTGGGAGATGAAAACAACTTTGTGAATATATATTGAAATATATATATATGTATGTATGTATATATATAGGAAAATAATGGAAAATGATTACAAAGCAGTGGTTAGAAATCGTGTTCTCCAATTTCAATCGCAAATCCGTCGAGAAACATACCTACAGTACCATCACTCAATCCTGCTAGAAACTGGGATGATTGAAGGGAAACGCTACAGGACACATCAGGAAACCAGATTTTCCTCCTCGAAGTTGGGGAGCCCTACTTCACCCTGCTCTTGGAAGGATCAGTGCATCATCACACATCTACAACGATCGTCAAATCCAAGGGGGGGGTCCTAAAACATGGGTACCCCCAAATCATCCATTTATAGATGGATTTTCCATTATAAACCGTAGCCCAATTTATGGAAATCCCCAAGTGATCACAGCTGACCACTTCTGAATGGTCGAGGCTCTGCTTGGCACTGGACCAACCATATTTCCAGTTCTTGAAGCCCGCATCGCAGTCATAGACATGTTTCACCTTCACGTGTCTGGTTCGGTAGATCACCTGGATGCTCCGGTTGCACTGCAGGGAGCTAGAAGGATCTGTTGGCAACATCAGGTGGATCTCATGGATTGTCTGGCAACTGCTTGTGCAAACAACATCAAACAACTGGATCACCTGCAGTGGTGACGCAAATCTCAAGTGCAATCAACTGCCACCAGCCCTTCCCATGGCCTTGTTCTTGACAATTGTCTTTGGTGGCAAAGGCACAGGGACCTTGATCACCTCGAGATGGGCAAAAAATCTGAAAATCTGACTGTGTCACTGAGGATGTGAAGACCTTGAAGGATCCTGAAGGCACCCGTCAACATTTCACAGATTTCCTGATCCCCGCCTTTCCAGGCTCTTTCACAGGCACTGGCACTGGCACCGAATGGTACTTGGGCGCGGAAGGCTCTGGCACAGGCACGTAATGCTTCTCATGAATGTACTTGGGAACCTGAGCACCAAGACTGCAACTGGTCTCGGGAAATTTTTGTACTCATGGGAGCGTTTGTTTAGCCGGAACATGCTAGAACTCAAACTGCCAAGAGACCAAAAGATCTTATGATATCTTATGATATCTTATGATATCTTATGATATCTTATGATATCTTATGATATCTTATGATATCTTATGATATCCTATGATATCTTATGAAGTTATGATACAAAGCAACCGACTTTCAAGTACTGCAACTTTAAGGTAGGTTGCAGCCTCACCCCGTGCCTTTCCTGACAGAATCCCACACCTGTCTACCAGCTGAAGCTATGCACCAAGCTGCTACATGAGGATGTCCTGGCACGGGCACCTTGATCACCTGGGGTGCATCCTCAGATCCAGATGGGTTGCCCAGGGCACACTGACGGGTTCCCAACATATTTCCTCCACGCAAATCAGTATGCGATCCCATGGGGGGGCCTTGACAGGACTTTGCTCGCACTTCACAATGGATTAGGGGTCAACATGACCGTTTTGAAGTGCAAAAATTGAGATTTAACCAAATTTCAGCTTTCAGTCAAGGCTCATGAATTGGAACATTCACAATGTGGTTGATGACTCGTGCGGGTGGTGCCGGAATAGGCACATGCACTGGCACGGTCACGTGCTTGACGTGGGTGATGGTGTGGTAGTGTGGCCTTATTTGCCACTGACTGTCCGGGAGTTCAGCCTGCTGCTACCGTCCAAATGCCACCCAAAACATGGTCAGAATTCATGGCTCAGCAAGATTTTACGTTCGACAAAGACTTGCTCAAAGTTTGCCTGCTGAACATTCCGAAACTCTCTAATGGTGAGGAAGATTTTTGTATGTGAATATATAATAATATATATAATAATATATACATATATACAATGTTTCAGCAAATTCTCCCAGTGATAAGCGCCACCAAGAGGCCGATAGGTCACCTGCCAAACTCCAGATGAAATTGATCCATGTCCATCCACGTCCGAGGTCAATATGTCCCAGTTGTTGAGGGGAGCATCTGAAAGAGTTTGTTCTTAAGGTGATGTAAGCCGATGTTTAAGATATCTCAAAATCCTTGAGGTCATGGAAGCTTCCCACCTTCCATTCTGGAAACCTGACTGAAGTTGCGAAGTGCGCAGCAAGGATTGGAAAATACCCACCATATACCCACCATTTCTCAAGCCTTCGTGGTACAGGCGACATGGCTCTTGTAGCAGCAGTAGCGTTGGTGCTGGGGCGACCATTGGTTTTTAAAGACGCCCAGACCTGAGGACCACGTGCCGATTAGCGTCAGCGATGGGGTAAAAATCAGAAATGCTCGACGTGTGTGGAACATTATACATCCTTATACAGTAATCTTGTAAGTCTTATATATACGTTGTTCATACGGATTATACGCTTCTAAATCCGGCATTTCCCCTACATTCCCAAGAAAAATCCCCTGACGTTGGGACCTTCGGTGCAGTCGTAAGCAGCGGTGTGCACATAGACCTTGTGCCTCGGAAGACTGCCCAGGTCATATGGCATTGATCATACAGTTTTACCACAAAAATAACGATATATCATGAGAAAGATTGATGGATATACATACATCACCGACATATATATATATATATACATATATATATATATACATATACATATATATATATATATAGGCACCGATGTCATTTTTTGACAGGTCAAGGCAAGGCTGTCAAATGTGCCTAGTGGGTCACCTCGAATGTACCCAAGCTAGATACAGCATCAGCAGCTGCACACCGTACTCAGGTCGTCAAGACCCGGCAGTACCACACACGGGGCAAATTTAAAAAGACCCCCTTTTTGCCATAGCGGCAGCCAAGCCCCCCTAGCCAGGATACCTGGGACAAGAGACACTGCTAGAAGCAGGCGTTAGAGGTGGGAGGCGGAATCTCAGATGCTATCAGCATCCAAAGTCAACCAGGCCCAAGCCTATAGAATTATTATCTCTTCATTCATTAGACGCCTTCCGGTCAACAGGGATCTATAGGCAACGATGTCATTTTCTGACAGGTCAAGGCAAGGCTGTCAAATGTGCCTAGTGGGTCACCTCGAATGTACCCAAGCTAGATACAGCATCAGCAGCTGCACACCGTACTCAGGTCGCCAAGACCCGGCAGTACCACACACGGGGCAAATTTAAAAAGACCCCCTTTTTGCCATAGCGGCAGCCAAGCCCCCCCTAGCCAGGATACCTGGGACAAGAGACACTGCTAGAAGCAGGCGTTAGGGGTGGGGGGCGGAATCTCAGATGCTATCAGCATCCAAAGTCAACCAGACCCAAGCCTATAGAATTATTATCTCTTCATTCATTAGACGCCTTCCGGTCAACAGGGATCTTTAGGCAACGATGTCATTCTTTGACAGGTCAAGGCGAGGCTCTCAAATGTGCCTAGTGGGTCACCTCGAATGTACCCAAGCTAGATACAGCGTCAGCAGCTGCATACCGTACTCAGGTCGTCAAGACCCGGCAGTACCACACAGGGTACACATTTAAAAAGACCCCCTTTTCGCCATAGGCACATTTCCTATTCCAGCACATCCTTCCCAGTTAAGCATGTGCGCCCCTAACGCATTTGATCAAGTATGCAGCTTGGCAGCGTAACGGTCTAAGAGGCGGGAAACGGGGGGAGAAACGAGTTTGAACTAAAGCAGCTCGACCATTCCAGGTGCTTCTGCTCCTGCCGCGGGATGGGCGTGTTCTCTATGGGGAGCACCATTGCGGCCATTCGCTGACGTAACTCCAGGTCTGCACATCGATGGTACGCCTTCAGCTCCTTTGCGATGGCATCACACCTTGCTTCCTGATGCGCCGCATGCACATGGTGGTCCAACCCTAGATCCACGGCGGCCCCTTTAGCGTACTTGCTGCACATGCAATCCGCCCATTTTGCAGGAAGGGTTGGTAGCTTTCTCCGCGTCCATGCGGGCAATCTCATCTGCTAATTGTTCGTAAATGCCCCTGTGCCTGTTATTCGTGATCACACAACTCCATTTCTCCCGGGTTCCTCCGTGGCAGCATGGCTGAAAACTGCCATCAAGACCTTGGGGCGGGTTGCAAATTCTTTCATTTTGCTCAGGCTCGGTCGTCGAGCTCTTCACCTCTTGATGGAACTGAGAGCCATTTTGTTGCCGCGACGGACACGCAGCGCATCCTCCCCTCTGAGGTTTCTGTGAAGCTCATTACATTGGCCTAGTCCCGCAGCGCCCGCGGCCCTTGGTAGCGCTGCCGTAGAAAGGTCGCCCACGATCTCTTGAAAAAGTCTTGCGCTCTGGGACATGGTGTTCATAGTCGTGATCCTGTTGATCCAGCTCCGCCCAGGACTCCTTCCCAGCCTCTGCGAAGAAGTCCATCGTTCCTCTCCTTTGTACGTCGTACGGGGGCAAAATGTCAAACCCTCTCTTCAACATGGCGATGGTCAATGGGGCGTGCGGTCCACTTCATCGCTCACTGAAACAAGGGACGCCCAGCCGCTTCATGGGGCTGCGGTGTTCCAACTAGCATTCCAAACTGCAGCAATGACCTCCGCACCTTTTCGGACAATCAAGCTCCTCAGCTGCTGCCATCAGCTCTGTGATGTCTCAGCCGCAGACTCCACACTGCCCCAGGTCAGCTGAGTTGGCGACCCCTGGCGCATGGTTGATCTGTTTGGCCACGCAGCTGCGTGCCCCAGTTGGAGAGGCATCTGTTGCGAGCAGCGGCGGCGGCGGCGGCAGCAGCAGCAGCAGTCGGCAAGTCTCTCATCTTTCAGTTTCTCCCAGTTTCTCAATTCTTTTGGGGTTTCAGAAGTCACGTTAGGGAGTTTTTCGGTGCGATTCTGTGACTTGTTCGTCCTTCCGTGCCTTGCTGTTTTGCTGCCGGCAGGTGCTTCCGGCACTCCATTGCTACGGCAGCGCAGCCGCAGCAGCAACAGCAGCAGCAGCGGCGGCGGCGGCAGCAGCAGCAGCAGGCTAAAAGCCTACTTGGGTCTCTCTCCTCATGGAGGCGCCTTCGTCCTTCTTCAGGGCACCCTTGTCCAACAGGTTCCCTTTCTTTCCCTTTTCCTTGGCTCCCTCGCAAAAAAAAACTGTCCCTTTCGGACCCTTTTCCGGCTCCTTTCTTCCAATTCTGGCTGTCGCTCCAGCGGGGACCGATCTTTACCTTCTCCTCTCCCTCTGCTTCTTTGAGCATCATATCTTCTTCCCCTTGATCGACTAGGGCTGCGTCCTCCGCTTCCACCAATTCCAAGTGTCTGGCTCGGCGCCACTAGTTCCCGTCTGCCTCGGATTTTTCCAGCGCCTTGATTCTCTGGGCTATGTCGGACGCTTCTGGACCTTTCCCGCTGGTCATCATGTCCAGGAGCGTTGTATTCACCTTCTACTCTCGCTGAGTGCGAGGCGTCCATTTGTCCCGAAGGTGTGGCGTCATGACTGTATACATGCGCGCCACCACTTGTAGCCGCTCCCTCGTTGAGCCGGTTTCGTTTCGGCACCCCCAGAACACGGTCGCGCTCTCCATGCGCCTCAACAGCCGGGCCGCCAACCTCCCTGGGTACCTCTTTGCGTAACCCACCAACCTGAGGTGGTGAGATCTCGAGGAGGGTGCCTTTTGAAAAGACGACTCACCCGAGGAGGCACTCAGGTAGCCTCCTTCTTCCCGCGTCTTTTTGTCTCCCACTCTTCTGATGGGGACGCGCCAAATGGTCCTCGGTCACGACCTCTGTGGGCCTTCTTGCTATCCTTCCGTTTCTTCTTCTTCTTTTCTCCATCACGGGATCTGTCCCGGCGATGTCCTCTCGCTCACATCGCTTCTTCCGGCGGGCCACCTTGCCCTCCCTGGTAATCTCGCAAATTAAAGCTCTCTTCTCGTCATCACTTTCTCTCTCATCAGTCTCATCGGCGTTCTCTTCTGGCTCCCCCTCACTCTCATAAGAGGATGACTCTTCTCCTCTTCCTCCCTTGGTGCGAGGAGGTTCACTGAATCCAGCTCCTTTGAAGGCCTTGCGAGGCGGATCCTCTCACTCCTCATGATGACGTCTTTTGGACTTGGCATTCTTCCTTTCATCTCTCTTGTCTTCTTCTTCTTCCTCCTCCTCCTTCACCGACTGTTTCAAAGCCTCCAGCTCATTTGTCAGTCGGGCGATGCGTTCTTTCTTCTTTTCCTTCTGAGGCGTCTGCTGCTCAGACCTTGGTTTTTGTTCACCTTTAGGTGCCTCCTTTTCGACATGGAGGGGCTTATCCTCCCATGGCAGCTCACCTGCCTTCGAACCTCTCGGGCTGCCGCCTCTTCCTATGAAGTACTTGAGCATCTCATCGATTGCAGCTCCTTCCAGGTGGGTTGCCTGCTCACCCACAAGCTCTTTTCCAAATCCTCCATTTGCCAACGTGCACAATCTGCCTGCCACCTGGGCGCCCTTGGCACGAGGTCGGATCACCCCGGCACAGGTGGTAGTTGCCATCCACTGTAGTGGCCACCCCGTCTGCCGTGGTGACCCAGTACCGGTAGTACTCATCCGAGGCAGTGATGTAGTCACAGAGTATCGATTGCCCTGCGGACCCTGTGCCATAGAGCGTCTTCACTTCCAAGAAGACCGTCCCTTGGCTTTTACCAGCATCATCATACACCTGGGCTTTTATGAACTGCCCTCGCCCAGGGCATGCTATGGACCCTTTGCCCCCCGCATGGTCCAAGGGCCCTTTTACTCTGACCTCTTCGGGTCAGGCACGAGCCTCTCTCTGGGGGCTCCCAGGCATCTCTCTGGCACAGGGGCCAGGCAAGTCTAGTTTGAGCCCAGATGCTATCAGCATCCAAAGTAAACAAGACCCAAGCTGCAATCCCTCACTCACAACGGATCCGTACCTAACAGGGAAAAGGTTGGACAGCCAATTGTCCAAAGGCAAGCGCACGGCTGCCTATTTTCCTGCTTGGCTCTTGAGCCCACCCTGGGCAGCGGTCAGTCGTGACATGTTTGGTCACATTCACCACCTGTGCTTGCATCCCCCCTGACCAACGTGTCAGGACAAGGGGTGGAACTCCTCATAGTTTTCCTTCTCATCCCAAGGATATCCGTTGTCCTTGGCCAGCTTCTTCACAAGGTTCAGGAAGGTTATGTGGTGTTCCTCCAGCTGTTTCAGCATCATGCGCTTGTGAACCTTTCTTCCGGACTCAAACTTCTCATCATGGATGAGTCTCCACATCTGTCTCTGTTGGTAGAATTGCAGCATCACCTTGATCGCGTTGACCTTGGTGAGGGCGTCCGCAAGCTGTGCTAAGCCATTCACCCATCGAAATTGTGTGCCAATTTGATAGGCTCTGTTCACTGCCAGCGTCAACTCGTAGCCGCATCGGCTATCTCTCAAACCATGTAGACCACTGAGGTTTCTCGTAGCAGCGTCATAGATACCACGGCTATCAAGCACCAGCGCACCTTTCACCTTCTTGGCATGCTCGTTGAGGTGTCCTCGTTCAGGTACAGCTCCAAGCATCTCAGCAATCAGGGCGCGAAGTTGGAAGTTCATATCTTCTCCAAGGGTCAGTCCTTGGACTTCCGATCCATTTGATCCAAGACTTTGTCTCGGGGCCTTTCCAGACTTCCACTGCAAAACTGAGAATTGTCTTTCCTCTCCCCACAGAACATCCGCAGGTGCAAGAGCTGAGAGGATTCCAACAGTTGATGACCGATCAGGTCTGTTTCCTTGACTGGCATCGGCCCAGGTAACGACTGCAAAGTCTTTTGTATCCCAGGTTGGAAAAAGTAGACCTTGAGCAGCTCGGCGTCTCATCTCGCGGACAAGCTTGTTCGCCTTGTGCAGGGTCTCAATGGTAGCTTTTCCAATCTCAGAGAGAAGTAAAGATGTTTCAGCCAAATACTCTGGAGCGGTCTGTGTCGATCTCCAGCTGATAGTCCCAAGAACTCCTCGTAGAGCAGTAACTTCAGAGGGAGTCAAAGGTGACTTCCGAGATCTGTTTGGGTCAATGGAAACTTCTTCGATCCACCGCTCGGTGTAGTCTTTCTGGTTCATCGTGATGGACTTGTCGGAGTGCTGCACGATGTGGGTGCCAGCGAAGTCAAATTCATCCTGGTCCCACTTGCCCCACCGGAACGCTGACTGAAGCTTGGACTCAGCTTCAAGAAATTCCGGTGAGCCATCACCTGACAGCAAAAAGTCATCCACATGGATACCTGCCAGGCCGATCAGGGTTGTGACGCCATTGCGCTCGGCAAAGAGAGCGTAGAGGCATCGGTCGGCCTTCATCTGTCGCCATCCATGTTCCAGCAGAGTCCTCTGGCATCTCTCGAACCATTTCCTCGGAGCATGTGCCAAACCATAAAATGCTTGAACCACTCGCAGTGCTCGAGGATCTCCAGGTTGCTCCAAAAGCTCTTGCTAACTCGGGCGGTGCCCAAACCGTAAGACCTTCATCTTCAAGTGACGTGTCCGTCTGCAAGAAGGCTGATGTTACATCTCCTGACTTCAAAGTGAACTTCAAAGCTGCTGTCAATGCTAAGAGGGCATTCTTGGCACCTTTGCCCATTGTGGGGGCTGTCGTCTCGACCTCCGTCAGGTTGTGTGCTTGGAAACCAAGAACGACAAGTCTCGCTTTGGCGTCGCCAGATGCCTTCCTTGTAAGCACCCATCGCATTGACATCACTGCACCCGGGTTGAGCTTCTCCAACTCCTTGGGCGTCAAATTCCGCAGCGCTTTGGAAACGATGACGTTGGAGATTTCCTTGGCCTGCGCCAAGTCGAATTCCTTCTTCTGATCCAGCGTCAGCTGATTCCAGCTCAGTTCACGTCCACGTTCTGCCATTTTCTTGGACAGCCATACTGTGCCACGCTTCTTGGAGTGGTACTTGGACAACCATGCGAAGTCCTCCTCTCCAATGTCCAGCTCGATGGCCACAAAGGTGTCCTTCGGCTTGGTCTCAACGTAGTGAGCGTCAGCTTCTGGCAGATCACCATCTTTGATCAGCTCTTCTGACTCAACAGAGTCGCCATGGGAACTTGAAGCGCTCGATGTCGATGAAGATTCACCATCGTCGATCTTGTTGTCAGCATTCTCCACAGGGGAGCTTCGACCATCGTAGTTGTCATACATGAACTGGGTCCCCCCTGAATCTTGGTGATGTCCTCGATGACCTCCAGGTAGGACACATTCAGGGGCAGAGCATAGATTTGATCCAGCACTCGCCGATGATCTTGCAGGCAATCCATCCAGTCGATCAGGACCTCCATGTTGTAGAGCTTGATGTAGTGATGCTGCACCACCTCCATCATTGGGAACTTGTTGATCTTGTCCAGGTTGATGTTCATCTGGTCCACCATCGCGAGGGGGCTCTTCTTCAGCTTTTCTCTTGGTCTTTGGAACACTTCGCCTGACCTTGGCTAGTCTGTTGATCGTCTCCTTCAGCTCGAAGTGTGTTTCACCAGTCCATCGATCTTGCAAGGTTTTGCTCTCCTCCACAGTGTCCTTGATGGTCACCTTCTCGCCAGTCGCAATCACCTTGAGGAACGTAGTTCTTGTCCCCTTGAGCTCATCAACTGACACAGGGCATGTAGTGACCTTCAAAGGATTGAAAAGTGCAAGTCGTGGAAGACCATGGTGTCGAATGAGAATTCGTTTGCCATCTCGTTCAACAATAGACCAAGAGTCTGCCTGAGAAGTTGGTTGTTGAAGAACAGTTGTTGGAGAGACGTCATCAGCTTGTTGCCTCTCACTAGGAACATCACCTGATACATCTTGGTAGTATCGGCCTTGGAACATCTTCATGAGGGACTCCACAGAGACAGGTGTTCTGTAGATGGCTGTTCCTTCAAGTTGGGCTTTCAATTGCTCAGGCTGTGTCGTTGGCCTGACTTGGTTGACTTTCGCCCGGATGAGCGTAGCTCCAGAGGCAAGCCACAAAGTTGAACCTTCTTGGACGATCAGCCGCAAGGGTCCAGTCCACATTCCCTTCACCTTGCCAGGGCGTACACGTTGTCGCCACAACATCACCAATTGACCTGAATGATATCGGTGATTCACAGGTCGTCCAACTGCATTTGAAAGCTTGCTGAAGCGTTCACTGGCTCGCTCCTTCTCAAAAGCTAACTTGGCTCTTTCACGAGCTTTGGCCAATCCATCGAAAGCTTTGTGAGGTGAAATTCCAGGAAGTCGTTGCTCATCATCCAGTGTTCCACCTCCATGGCCGAAAACCCATTGATACGCACTGAATCCAGTGCCACCAACATGTCCATTCATTGCTGAAGCAGCCAAGTTGAACAGTATGGGAACACTGAGCTTGCTCCCTTCTCGCATGAGCCGTTCCACTGTCCTTTTTCCCACGCCAATTGCGGCTTCTTCGGATCCCATCATCCAGTGTGCTGCGGCAGGGGCAATCGTGAGGCCAATACCGCTTTGGCTCACAAAGTCCTGCATCTCTTGACTGGTGTAGTACCTGGCTGAGTCAGCTACCAACCATTTCGGTGCTGGGTATGTTGCCAGCCAGTTGGAGAGTGAAGCCACAATGTCGGAAGTCTTGGGCTCCCAGGCGTTGGAGTAGTTGGCCATGTGCTCAAACATTGTGAGGCCGCTTGCTCGGTCTCTGAAGATGATCAGCTTGTGTTTGATCTTCTCATCTCCAGTTGGATTTGAAGGTGCCGGCTCCTCAAACTCGAAGACGTCCGTCCCCAGGTACTCAAATACTTTTGGCTCTTCCCCGGTCGAAGCCGGTGGATGGGGTCTCGGCCTTGATGCCTCGGTGCATTCAGGGCATCGAAGGTTCTGGGCAATCTCCAGGGCCCATCCTGGAGCACCTTTTGCTCGCAGGAGCTGCACCAAGCTGCTCATGCCAGTGTGACCGGCAGCTCGATGAACCCTCAGCATGGTTTGCTTGATCTCCTCCAACTTCTTCCCAGTTGGCGCAACTTCCAAGGAAAGCTTCTTCCGTGAGAGCGCCAAAACCATAGGTTCACCACCATCACCACCACAGCAGGTCGTAGGGCTCGCTGTCGTCAAAGGTGAGGATGATGTCAAAGTTCTGGATGAAGTGGAGTGGTCCTCGTCCTCATACTTCAGGAGAAGCCGCTCTCTCATCTTCTCCAGGGAGTTGATGTCTGAGCTCCAAGCATGCTCGAAAGCTTTGACTACCGCCCTGCACATTGCAGGTGGGTAATACGCACTTGCTTGAGCTGCGTGTCCTCTGCATTCTGCGTGCTGGTGGGAACCATCACATCGTTTGCACAACGACATCCAGAGCTCCCTGCTGCTAGTGAGCACTTGCCATCCTTTTCGAAGTGGAAGGCCTCGCCATTGAAGTCCATAGCTGCAGCCATCAAATCTGCACCAAAAGATTTGCCTCTTGTAGTGCCGCATCTTTTTGATGAGCTTCTTGATGGCCTTTGAGTTCCAGCCAGCATGTGCTGAGGCAGGCCATTCCCATGCAATGTCATCTCCATTGGCCAGGACGCTGTCAAGGGACTCCACAACTTCCTCATTGCGTCGAAGATCTTGTCCGCGACGTTTCATGAATTTGTCCCATTGCTCTGGCGTCCGTGGGGTCAAGTTCTGAAGAGAACTCAGTCGGGTACATTGCATTGACACCCATGTCAGCTTGGGGTGCTTCTGCTCAATGGCGTGCTTGAGGTCGGTCGTTCCCTTCTTGGTGTCCAGGTCAAAGCCACTCTTGTAGTTCACCCGGAACGTGGTGTAGCCAGCTGCCTCAAAAGTTGTAGACAGCTCAGATGTTGGACTGCATGCCACTTCCATCACGTCCAGCTGTTGGTTCACGCTGCTGAAAAGCTCCTTGACGGGCTGCATCAAAACTGTGGTAAGTGCAGCTGCTTGTGCCAGCCGCCGTGCCAAAACAGGGCGGACCATTTTCTTGGTCACATTTGGCGCAGATGACAGATGAAAAAGGTCTCCGTCATCCACTGGGCTCGCATCAGTTCCAGTGCCATGCTCAAAGTCATTGGTCGTGGTGTCATTGAATTCCTTGGTGTAGTTGGACGTGTTGTCATAGTGAAGGTTGTAGTATTGATTCCCATGTTCAGCCTCCAGCCGATGTTGGGAATGGTCGGGAGCGTTGTCTCCCTTCTGCATCCTTTCTCGCAAGCTTGTCAAAGCATTCCATAGGGCGCTTAGCCCTCCTCCTCCGATGACACCACCGTCAGCACGTCGTCCACCTCGTGGATGATCACCTCCTTCGGAGGCTCCGTCGCCGGTGTTGACGGCGCAGCCTTCGGCGTCACTGGTGCCATGGGCTCCTTTTTCACATGCACCTTGGCCTTTGCCACAGCCTTGGGAATCGCCAAAGTTGACGGCATCTTCGGCTCCTGGTTGAACTCCTCGGTCTTGCGCGGTGTCGGAGTTAGCATAGTCGGCGTTGTAGTTGAAGCCATACCAGGATCCATCGTGTTGTAGCCCTCCATGAGGTATTTCCCAAGGGGCTCGTCGGCCTTGATCTCGACCGTAGTTCGTCCAGCTCCACCAGTTTGCACCAGACCACGGCCACGAATTTCCATCAGTTTGCCATTGAAGATCTTCTCGTTCATGTTCATAGGCGCGTACTGCTCCTTCAACTCCAGTTGGGCAGCTTCCACATGTAGAGGATCTGGTCCAATGGCACGTGTCTCTCCCTGGTAGGTGCCTTTAGTGGTGTAGCTCAACCTCAGGCCACATCTCTTGCATGCATGCCACTTTGCGTACTTGTTCTGGCGCATGGGGCCAGGGGTGTGCATCCCACTGCAAGGCCACCCTTGGTGTCGTGGGTCTTGGGGCATCACAGGAGGACATGGCTTTCCCACCGTGCTCATTCTGGTGCACGTTGAGCTCAGAACGGAGTGCTTGAAGGCGTTGGGCCAGACAGCTAAGCCGTTCGGTCATGGGTTGCTCTTCACCGGGCTCCATCATGACCATCAACACATTGCCATCTCTTCCATTTTCATGACCGTGTCCATGTTGTGGGGCATGTTCATGTCCATGTTCATGTTGTGGATCATGTGAACCCTCTTCTGTCATGACATGTGTTGTGACTGGCCTCCAACTGCCTGTTTCCTCATCCAACTCTTGATGACTTGCAACATCATCGCCGCAAGAGGTCTCATTTTCCGTGACACCACCTGATCTGGTAAAAGAGGCACTGCGGGATCCTTCAACCCCAGCAGGAAAAGGTCTCTCGATTGGAGACTCCGGCGTGTAGTCACCATCGGTGATCAAGCCGTTGGGAACGTCGTTGATTGGGCTCTCTACCATCGTTGCCAGCTCATTGAAGTTCTGCACAGCAAGGGTCTCAGTGGCATAGTGAGCAAGACGATGCATTGCGTCTCGGTTGATGTTGCCCTCTACAGTGGACATCACAGCAGCATCCAGTGTCTCAGATGGCACAGTAGCAGGCCCAGAGGCAGATCGGACAGAGGTCTCTGATCTTGTTCTCTTGTTTCTCCCAGGGCCATCACCATCATCACGATGAGGACCATCGCCAGGTTCTTCAGGACCATCTCGATCTCCATCACCTCCATCTCGTCCAGGGCCTCCTCGGTCTCCATGATCAGGTCGGTCATGAGGAGGTCGGATCAGTGAGGACAGTCTCACCGAAGGCTGAAACAGTGAAAGTGCTAAATGGCCACTGCGTAGGCTTGTCAGTGGACTGGCTCTCCATTCACCTCGTTGGTTTCGATGGGCCATGTACTCCCCCTTGTGTGCAATCAAGGCTTGTCGATGTCGTAGGTCACGTGCTCCAAGAAGAAGAGGAGTGTTCTCTGCCGAGCCATCCAGCAAGTAGAATGACACCTCACCAAGTGATGGGGTGTTCAAAGTGAGCTTTGAAACTGCTTGTTGAACTTGTCCATTGCCAAATCGGAACCGTGGCCGGTCTCGCAAGTTGATTTGGTACGGAAAGGTTCCTTCATCCAGCATTCTCGCAGCACTTGCGACACCAGCTACTGACTCAGTTGCCCCCGTGTCGAGGACAGTCCTCGAGGCTCCAATTGACTGAAGTTCATCGCAGTCATGGGTGGAGAGAACATGGATCTCACCAGTGGGCACGTAGAAGCCGTAGTTGTCATACGCAGTGAAGTAGGCCCTTCCCTTCGAGTTTGAAGGAGAACCCTTTGGTGAACCTTTTGGTGATCCCTTGTTGCGGGAAAAACGGTCAGGGCACATCATGTAGGTGTGGCCGGAACGCCCGCAAATGAAGCAGGGTCCCATCTTGCCCTTCATCTTTCCTTTACCTTTTCCTTTCATCATCTTACCCTTTGACTTCCCTTTTCCCACAGGGCCACCTTTCATGCCACCAGCATCATAGTAGCCACGGGCTGCACGAACTTGAGCAACAGCTTTTCTGGCTTCTGTCAAGGTCTTGTTGGCCTCCTGCGCAATGGTGTAGGCTTCTGCAAATCGTACTTCTTCAGGTGAATCAGCTTGAACTCCACCAGCATCTGAAGCCATAGCACCATCAGTTGCAGACATAGTTGGAAGTCCCCGTCATAGTTGATGACTCAGGCCACCATCCATCATCCCAGTTGCTCCAGGACTCATCGCTCCAGGCATCTTCATGCCACCCATCAGCCGTCCAGTAGGCTTCCTCCTCATCAAACCAATCTTCTTGTCCATCATCTTCCCATTGAGCTTCTTGCCAATCCTCGTTGAACCAAACTGTGCGCTTGGGGCCACCACGAAGATCTGTGTCGACCTCGCCATCAGCTGCAAAGAGGCTCCTCAGTGCACGTCTCACCTGGTAGTACCTAGTGCTGTTGCCGGTCATGGTGAGCACATGCTGTCTTTCTGATGAAGACAACCTCGATGACTTCAGAAGTCGATATCCCCGCAGCTCGTCCTCGAAGTAGCCATGTGTAGGGCTCGAAGACGTCTCATCCGAAGTAGGTCTCGTCGATGATGTAGTCCCAGCAGCAGCAGCATCCGCCATTGGCGGTGGTCCAGCCGTAGGTGACTGGCTTGGAGAAGCTCCCATGTGGGGAATGTCCCCAGTCACAGCAGGTCGATCTGGAGGAGGTAGTCCTTCACGTTCATGTCTGGCACGCTTCAGGGCTTGTTGAAGATCTACAAAGAGCTCTTCTTCTCGTACTAGTAGTTGCGCTATTGTTTCATTTGGTGTCCTGCGCAAACTCGACCATCGTTCAAGTCGTTGGAAGGAGTCTGGAACTGGAAGACGTTGTAGTGGTGAACTTCTCAGCACTTCCAACAACCGGTTGAGGCCATTCTCCCTGCCAAACTCAGTTGGGTCCAAGTGTCGGACAACTGATTTGGCGCTGCCTGACAGTCTTTGCCATATCTTCGGCGCCGCAAGCTTCTTCTCGGTGTCCTTCAAGCTAGCTTCGTACCACCTGCAGCTAGTGACGAAGCTCTCGAAGTCACTTGGGTCGCCGCTCCATGTCGGCACATCATTGGTGTCCTGCGGCATGACAAAGTCCACCGCAGCCACCAGCGCCAGCAAGGCCACCAAGGCCCAGGATGCACCAGGCAGGTGCTCCGCCTACCATGCAATCCCTCACTCACAACGGATCCCTACCTAACAGGGAAAAGGTTGGACAGCCAATTGTCCAAAGGCAAGCGCACGGCTGCCTATTTTCCTGCTTGGCTCTTGAGCCCACCCTGGGCAGCGGTCAGTCGTGACATGTTTGGTCACATTCACCACCTGTGCTTGCACAAGCCTATAGAATTATTATCCCTTCATTCATTAGACTCATTCCGGTCAACAGGGGTCTATATATTATAGATATATATTATATATTATAGATCTATGTATATATATATATATACATATAATTGTTATAATATGCATGTATAATAATCATCTAATTTTGATACATGTAGATACATGTAACACGTGTATATAATATGTTTATAATTGTTTATATATTGTGGTATATCGCCAGACAGCTACTGACAATGGCCAGTCCATTGCCTTGACCTTACGTCCGTTGCGTGGTCCGTTGCACCCCTGTTGGAAGCTACAGAACTACGGAGCATCTTTTCTCGTTTGGAAAACGGTGGAAACATATGGAAACATTGGGAAAAAATTGGAAACAATGGGGAAAAATATGAAAACATGGGAAACAGGTTGAGTCAGTTCTGTCACTTTGAGTCATTTTGACTCATTTTGAGTCAGCGTCCCGTGATGCTCCAGATATCTCCAGATGTTCACTCCAAGACATGTAATGACCCTCCGAGGTGGTGGTGGAATGGGCACAGGCACCATGTGTGGCACATGAACGTTCCTGGGAGGTGCCCCAAGCTGTGTAAATTGGGTAACCAGTTTTCACCATATGGTGATAACCATGGAATTAATATGAATGAATATGAATGAAATTGAATGAATTATCTTCATTGGAATTCTGTGAGATCATGTGAACATATTTGAAGATATGTATCTTGGGTGGCTGCAATTTGAACATCTCTGCACTATGTCATCTTCGGTGAAGCTGCCAGCATGCCATCGCCGACTGGAAACAAGACTGTGATCGCATCAGCTGTGTCTCAACCTGTTCAACCTGTCTCAACCTGTCTCAACCATGTTCGTTTCATAATCATTAGACTGTATTAGACACTCTTTGTTTCAAAATTTTCAAACAATCTCTTCCAGCTCCACCAAGATCACAGTTGTCTACCAGTGACGAGGATAGCCATAGCTTCAACAACGCTGTTGCCGCTGGCGGTAATTACGCACTGGCTCTTTCCGTTGGTCACAGAAGCATGATAAATATTTACGTGAGGCCCAAGGGGGGGGTGAACGAAAGCTAACGTTCATCTGAGCCTGGAAACATGATGGGATTTTGATGGGATTTGGATATGATGAATACAGATTGCCTAGAGACCTGGCAGGATTTGAGCCCGTGACCATCTGCTTCCAACACCGCCCCAAAATGCCCCGGGAGCTTAGGGGGGGAAGGGGGGGGTTCGAGTGAAAAATCATGAAAAATCACTGTGTTGGACTCAGACCTGCCCCTCCCCTTGCTGAAGCAAGCGTAACTCCAGCTAGCAATAGTACAGTAAGTATCTGTAAAAAAAAACAGAAGCACAGTTGGACATCAACGCAGCGATTGCTGGCCACACTGCACACCTCCCACTGATCAAATACCATGCCATGGCTCTTCACGTGCGTGTAGTACCTGGAATGCAAGGCAGTGTGACACGCGTTGAACAGCATAAATTCCATCGAAGAGATGCTGAAAAACACAAATCAGGGAACGGTTTGAGTTACAAAGTCTCACATTCTACAGTCAGAATGCCTGTCCAATCTGACCAATTGTCGACAACTGTTTAGTAAGTTTAGTAAGTGTCAACTGAAGGCAATCTGGGCACTTGTCGTGAATCACAATCTTGTCGACAGGCTTTGGGGCCGGGGGGGCGTCCTCGCAGAACGTCCTAAACCGGCTGGCGGCGGGCCGTGGGCCGAAGTGTAAAGGTGGAGCCAGACTACTTCACTGCTGAAATGGGGTTGTCAAACTTGGGATACGTCAACATGGCCATTGGAATTGGGCAAATATGGGGAAAATGATCATCAACCACTGGATGTTGGGTATCCGGATGTATCCGCTTTTCAAATCAAGTCATTCATATTCATATCAAGTCCAGGAACTACAAAGTCGAACCAAGAATTTGACACAAGCGGAGTTGCTCGTGGAACATAGGCAGCAAATTGTCCACGTCACAGTTGTGAGGTCGGATAGGTCGGATAGATGTGAAAGCCACTCTCTCCCCGCTCTGTCAAGTTAATTGTTAAACCCAAGTACTGTGTTGAAGCATGTTAAACCCAATCATCAACCCCGTTGTGGAATATACGTAGTTTATTGTTGGATCTGCCATGATCTGACTAATATTCTAACATAGCCTGGCTCAAATATCACGAAAATACCTTCCGAATCCTTCCAAACTTCTGGCGACGCCAAGATGCTCAAGGCCGCGTGAGCAGCAGCGCATTTTCAATGCGGGATCCAAGGCGGCCGGGTTTGGCATACCGACCACTGGAACTCCATCGGCATCGAGATGCGAAGTTCCAATCTGGGCGCTGGGAGCCCCATGGAGTGAAGCTTCCAATGGGGAGATATGGGGAGCATGGGGAGCAAAACCTATGATCAGGAACATGCTTGACCATAAAATAATAATAAATAATAGTTTCCTCCTCAATGGCATAATGCTTGGCAAGACAATGTCAGGAGCTTGCACCCGGGCCCCATCCCATCTCATCTCGCAATCCAAGCGTCATCACATTCCTGGCAGAATCAAAAATGAGGTCGTCAGATTCTCAAGAAAAACAAGAGGGTCCCAGAAAACGAGCAAGTAAGAGGGGTCACAATCTGGCAACACTAACATAACCATAACCAGAGGTCGGGAGGTTAAGGATATGGCCATAGAGCAGGGCCTAGACCAGAGTTGATCAAATGAGTGGGTTTCTTGTTGGCTAGGTTGATCTAGGTTGCTTGTTTTCACCGTGTAGATTCCAACAAAATCAACCAGTATGAGTATATAATTACATGTAATAAATATCATGTAATTACGTGGGTTTGAGTCAAAAACTGGGTATGGATCATTCAGCGGAAATCCATGCCAATCGGATTCGGATGGTGTGGATCGGGATCACCTGCATTTTGGCATTGGGAATATGGGCAGCCTATACACACAATATCACACAACCATGTGACCCGTTTTGAGCACTGCTCAAGTGATAATAGGATAGTGCTTTTTACGCACCAAATTTGGAGCATCACCATCGCTCTTCTTGGTTGAGCGTATGACTACGAGCACGCACAAGCTGTTCATGGTCATCATCTTTGGGTCTTTGGGTCTTTGGGTGACAGTTGCATTTCCCCCAAGTCACATTCGTCCAGTTTTGCACATCAGTCATCATGTTAGTACATTGCTACACATTGCTACACAATCATCACCAGTTTTCATCACGTCCCTGAACCAAATTGCTCCAAGAGGCGTCCGCCATGCCTATTGGTGAGAAGCCAGTTGGGGCGCTCCTTCGAGTCGCGGGTGCTGTGTGATGCTGTGTGCATGTTGCGAGATCTGGCATGTGGAAATCATTGGAAATCTGAAGCGTCAAGTACCATGTCTTCTATTTCTCAACAAATTTGATCAGTTGGAACGCTCCCCCCACTCGACAGGCAAGGCGTGGAATTGTGCCCTTTGAATGCCGCCAAGCAACCCAAACAGCCAGAGCCCAGCAATGAGAAGGGTCAGCAGAAAGGCAAAGCAGATCATGCCAATGCAAGCGAAGCGAAGCCTGGCTTGGTGGTTCATCCCACTTAGTACCTTGGGGCCCTTGGGGATGTAACCTTCAATGATGTCCATCCTGGTCCATCCTGTTGCTGTCTTTGCTGCCGAAAAAACGTGCTTTTGTTCCTAAAGATTCCGGATTGATTCACTGCCGAAAAGGCACTTACTGTAACCGTAACCATTTGTTGAATCAATCAAAGAGTGAAACATGAGGTCATTCATGTGGAGCCTCTGGCACCTGACAAATCCGCCAATTTCCAACATGAAACATCAACCATCATTAGCCATCAACCCTTGTGAACACTATTGTCAAGCATCAATATCATGAGTTCACCACCAACAAGCACCACTAACAAATCAAACCATTCTTAACCATTGCAAAATTGTAAATTATAGTCATTCATCAAGCTGAAACAATGCGATTTGGTCATATTGGTTGGTACCCCTATTAAAAATGTGAAAAATTATCAACCATCATTCCGGTGACGTTTTTCGACGCGAGGTCATCATAATTCACCTATGATCCCATGATACAAATCCCACGTTGAATCACCATTTGCGGGATGAATCCCGCTAAAAACGACCGCATTTCCATGGCCTGGTGCCTGCCGATGCAAGAGTGGGGCTGTGTTTGGAAGTAGGCATGGGAACTGGTATAAAACATGTATATATATATATAGATATTAATAATATGTATAATAATGATATACCAATGGTTGGAATATACCAATGATAACGCATTCAATGGTTGGAATATACCATTTCGTATCCCAATTAATACCAATGGATTTTTGTATAATCATTACATGGGTCTTATACTTATCACCAATAAACCAACCAATGGGTTTTATAAAGCAGTTAATGATATACCGACAAACCGCCTTCGCTGAACATCTAATCAATTGAATTTCAGGTTTTTGATTTTGATATATGAATATCATATATATATATATACGTATATATTATATTTATATATGTGTATGATTGTATATGTACATGATATCTATATAATGGGGAGATCTCACCTAATCATCAAGGATTGATAATATGGGATTTACCCCCGGAAAAAATGAGGAAGGAGACCAAGCATAATGGTCTCATATACTGGGGAAAACCCAAACTTTCACCAACAACAGATGTAGAAATTGTGGTTAATCTCCAATGGAGATATCATGGGGAGATAACGGGGATGCACGACTCCATTCTGGCCATTTGAATGGGTCAATCCTGGGATCATGGGGCCCACCCAAACGTGGCAAATCACTGAAGACTTGAAGAAAATTTCTGGGGGCGCACCAGTAGCAACGGTGGTTTTCTCTTTTTCGAAGTCACCTTTCCTGGGCCATGCAGAGCTCATAAGGTGTGACCATGCTGGAAATACACCATCTCAAGAAAAACCTATCGCCAAACTCCTGCACCCTATTAGAGTTCTGTGGAATCCTCTTCAAAGACCCGTACTTTCTATGGAGTTGCAGAAAAATCCATTCCCACCAAAAAAATGTCGTCATCGTCATTGTAATCTCGTCATCATCGTCATCATTGTCGTCATCGTCATTGTCATCTCATCATCATCATCGTCGTCGTCGTCGTCATCATCGTCATCCTCATCATCATCATCATCATCATCATCATCATCATCAACCAGCATTCAACCAGCATTCAACCATCATTCACGCATCATTCAACCACCAGTCAATTGCCAAGTAACAATATGTATCAATATGTAACAATCCATCATATGATTCACAGATATTCACAGCATGTTCCAGTAAAATTCACCACCCATTAAGCATCAATAAACCATAACAAACCTATGATTTTTGGGGGATTCCATCCACCTGACGCCGTGGAAAAAATAAAAAATCATCACGCGCCAAGCGGCCCCCAGCCCACCATCTCCATGGTGCCGACTTGCGCGTAGCTGCCCATGCCTGGCGTCATGCCAGGCATGGGCCCAGAAAAGAAATGGGGCGTGCAGAACGAAATCACCGGGATTTCGTAAGGGTCAGATGATGAGTCAATTATGATGGTTGATTGTGAAAAAACATGGAATTATTGATGGGTTGATGGATTTATTGATGATCAATTGATGGCTTAGTGATGATTAATGATGGTAAATCGTGGTTGATGATGGTTAATTCAAAACTGATGTCGGTGAACGATGGTTGATGATTGCAAATGAATGCTAATGATGGATATGTTTACTGGTCTACTTTCTTTTTCTGGCTGACTTGCATCTATTTTCCGTGAATCAATGGTAAAAAGAACATTAAAATCCCGCTGGAATGATGAAATACCTGGCGAGTGGGTGTCAACAAATTCTAAGCCCTGTCACATCCTTGATAGTCACACAATAGAACATCACTGTTTTGTGGGGGGTGGACTTATTGAAGATCCATTGGCAGATCGCACCCAAAGCTCAAAGCCCTTCTGCAGGGAAACCCCAACGCTGCACGTGTTTCCATTGTTGCACGTTCTTGGCAGAGGACAAGGGAGCTCATGTCAAAATTGTCAAACGCAACGCGGGAGAGTCCGACAACAGTATGTGTATGTTTTTGGGATTTCCTTGGGTCCAGATGGGTCCAGTTAGTCCAGTTCCCTGGAACTTCTTGATGTGACTTCTTGGCCCTCGTGGAATCCAACGCATTCTACGAGTCGCCCTGGGAAAAGCGCACCGCACCTGCTCCCTTGTAGACCTCGAGCACCGGCGCAAAAATGGTAACAGTGACCCAAAGCATTGGATGGTTCGGTTAGTACATGTTAGTACATGTTAGTACCAAATCTGACCAAACTCTGTGGTCCCCTGGCCTTGCCTCCTAAACCTCCCCCCCGAGGCCCTGAGGTACTAACCCAGCGCTCCTTTGTCTCGATGCCATCTGGCTCAAAGCCTCGAATTCCATGGCCGGGCCGTGTCGGGCCGAGCGAGGTTTCAACTGTGGCTCTCCTGCAATCTGTTTGGCAATTGATTTGGATATCTTGTCAAAGAGGAGAGACACTGAGACACTTTAACAATCATTCTTTGCCTTGCTTTCCGTCAGCTGATCTCTGTAGAAACCAAGAGAGACTGGATCCAATAGTCCAATAGTGCATTCCACACCAGTTCCATGTGCTCTTTCTACTGCCAGTCATTTGGTGCCTTGATGCTCTGGCTAATGGTTCATCCAACAAGGAAAGGTGTTTCCCAAATCGGGGGGGACCCTCAAAACATCCAATCAATTCCCTTCTTGGTTAGATTCCACTATTCCCACATATTAGCAGTATATCACCAACAAAAAACCATGGGATGTCCCGAAAAAAACCGGAAGTCTCTTTTGGAGTCGACAAGGCACACACAGCTCCACAACCTCCCATGGCAGCGGTGCCACCTCCGGCCGCGGCACCTCATGTCAATCAGCCGCTGTTTTTGGATTTTTGTTGGGCGTTTATGATCCTTTGATATCCTTTGTGTATGTATTAATATCATTTTATATCACATGTACATTGATGTATAGATAATTAATGATAATTATAGATATCGATGATATAGATTATATCTGTCCAGCCTAACTTAGCTATTTATGTATCCGATCCGTCTATGTGTTTCTGTCTTTCCGTCTACCTGTCTATCCAACCATCGTTCTCGATGGTTACCGATGGTTATCTGTCCATGGTATCTATGCATGTTCAACCGATGGATATCTTGAGACATGCCCTGACATACCCATATCATGCTTGAGTCCTTGAGATCTCCTAATCCAGGTTTGGGTGCCAGCAGAAAAATGTTTGGAACCTGATCAGCAAGGGCTTCCTTCAGTCTGTCTACCAGTATAGTCGTTTTCCTTGGAAGTTCCCCTGCTTCTCTGCACACGGTGCCAGCAGCTGCCACGGGACCGCCGCCCTCGATATCGACGCCACCAACAACCATGATCAAATTGTCTTCCTGGTTGCAAGGTTTGCTTCAGCTCAGCATGTTTCAAGCAACCCCCTCATTGTTTTTCAGTTCAGTCTTAGCTCTTTCTGTTCTGAGGACAAGACAGCAGGGTGGATTTTATTTAAAAAAATATTTTTTAAAAAAAACTGTGGTATACCCACACAATTACCAACAATTGCGCCTCAACTGTTCCCTGAAGAATCGCACCTTCAGATTTTCAAACATAAATTTGAACTCAGATTGTTTAATGCTCGCGATTGGCACAATTCCATGTTTCATATAACTCTTTGGAAAAGAATCTCGTCTCGTTGGGTCATTTCTCTTTTTTCCCAGCATCCCCATGGCCTGCAAAGATTGCAAGAAATGTATTGAGCCAGTTTCACTGGAAAAAAAAAACGCTGCAGAGCATAGTGACACGATGTGACACGCATTCACCGAGTTCCTCACAAAGCAGTCCCAAAGATTCACTATTGGAATTGGTTGGAGGGAAAATCTGCGGCAAAACCCTGCATCTTTGATGGCAAAAACCCGTGGCTTCGAGAGCGGCGTTCGGTTTTCGCGCTTCCATCTTCGTCTGCGCGACCTAAAAGTCAAGTACAGAGAATGCTTGAATGCTCTTTGTTGGCAAGGCTTCAAGTCTTCCCCGTCACAACTGAATGAAACATCTGAAAGGTTTGAGTTTGAGAAAATGCCACTGGTGGCATGTGCTGCATGGGGAAGATGTGGGCAATGCTTTTTAAAAAGCCTTGCAGCTGATCTTAACGAAAAAAGCAACGTCAGAACATGTCAGAACTGTGCTGAGTTATGTCAGAACGATTTGCGTTTGCCTGAAAATCTAGAGGAAAACATAGGAAAACCCTCAATTCCAAAGGATTACCAATACATCCAATACCCCATGTTCAGATATATTTGGGACCAAGGAGATAGGCAAAGCAAAGAAATCGTGTTCCATGCGGTAGAACGCTAGTTCCAAGGTGATACTGTCATATCATTGCGCCTGTGCTGCTCGGCTGCAAATAAAAATCTCAAGACGGATAGCGCACTTCGGGGCCACCGCCGACAATCTTGTGGCTCAGGCAGCGTGTGTTGAGCAGTGAGGACCACGTCTTGCTCAGTCTCAAGGAAGTTGTTAAATGCGCAACACACAAAGAAATGCCTTTGCACAATCTTGCAGAGAGCCCAGAAACATTGCTGTAGCAGCGTCAGCTCTTTGAAACGGTTGAGACTGGATTTCCCTTTGCAAATTACAAAATTGGTGCCCTCATGACAGGAACATACTGCTGTCGATCTTGTGGAAGAGGGTAACTCTGCTTCTCAAATGCAAAATCTCAGGGTAATTTATGAGGAATTCTGAATGACAGAGCTACCATGGGACACGCTGATATCGTGGTACACTCTACAAATAAATACAGCGTGTATATGACTGTATACATAATATGTATATATAGAATTATATAGATATATATCATGTATACATGTATAATATACACATGAGGATATTGTAAAAACGCTGTGATCGATGCGAAGTCATCGGGCTGTCATTAGATCGTATGCAAATCTTAAACGAATCACTTCAGCTGGGCCAAGCTCTGCCAATGTTTCTGGATGTCGGACTCGCAGCTGCTTTGGTCTGCGGCCCAACATCTGGCCTGATCAATCTCGCGTGTGTTGTCCCTCAGCTGAGTGATCAATCAGCATCAAGGTCAAAAAACCACCCGGTTTGTTCATTTACTTCAAGCAGAGCAAGCATGATCAAGCTACACTAAGATACACTAAGGTCATCTAAGCTCTGCATAAAGCAGTCATAAAGCCTTGTGCTCACCAGAAATCCCAATCCCTGAGGACTTGACCCGGCGTCATTTGTCGCAGAGGCCGGAATCCTGCTTGCAGCAGTAGTCTTTCTTCTCCTGTCATGTAGGTGACTCGTAGGGCTTCAGGTTCAGCATCTTATGATCATCATATTGACTATAATATATATATATATATATTGACTATATCAATTGTTTTTGTAGTAGTTGGCAATATCAGTAGTACTATTACTCCTCTTGCTTGGCGTAGCAGTAGTAGTAGCAGCAGTAGTCCTATTGCGAGTACCATTATGTAGCATTGTTGATCTATCAGAATCTATCATGACTATCATTGTCATTGCTATCACTGTATAATGTGTGTATCAATATTATTGTTCCCTCTGATCCCAACCATCAGAAAATCAAGGTTGGCGGTTTTCCACTATTCCCATGTTGATTCCTATGTTGAACACCTCGTTTTCCTTCATTTTCACTATTTATCCCCATTCAAATGGTCAGAAAAATGAGGCATCCAACCCATCGTGAGCCAAATCTTTCCGCCCGACTCCTTGCCTGTGGCCAGTAGGCCCGGCTTGCCCGACCCGCAGCACAGTCGAATCCTGTCGAGCCAGCCATTCTTTTGGCACGGAAAACGAACAACGTGGCAAAACTATGCAAAACTCACCCCAACAACAGGATGGAAAAGGGAAAAACGATACCACCAACCAGAATATGATTTCATATGATTTCGATCTCCATGGGTGCACCCCTACAGCTCAAAAAACGTGATTAAATACTTGCGTCGGTGTCCTTCTGTGGCAAAAAAAGAGCCATGCTCACCCACATCTCATAATATCTGATGCACTTGGATTCCAAAAGAAGGACGCGGACAATAACACGACATCCTGGTCGTGCTTTCACTCCATGATCCCCCAAATCTTCCCCAGCCTCCGAGGCGGCGGTCATGGTGAACAGTGTGGTATTCGTGGTGGACCTCGGTCACGTGGCCTCCTGAGGAATGCCACGATGAGGACCAGGATCCACTCGCACCAGCCGCACCACCCGCGGCACCGCCCGCTGCAGTGCCACCATGCGAGTAGTGCACTGTGACATGGCTCGAGGCCCCACCATCCCCTCCGGCCTGCCCTGGGCAGCCCACATTGTTGTGCTTGCAGCACCAAGCCTTCTTGGGAGACGACCAGCCAATCTTCCAATTCACCACGCCCACATTGCAAGCATAGGGCAAGCTGGGGGGCATTGCCCCACCACCCCCAGCAGCCCCAGCCACTACCCAGGTCCAGAAGCCATTCACCTGGACGTGTTTCCACACCATGCCCGCGCCTGGGTCAACGCTTGGAGGGCTGTTGCCCTCACAGCCCTTACCACGGTTGCTGCAGCACCATTGCTTCTTGGGAGGAGACCAAGCCCGGAAGAAGTTGTTCAAAGCGGCATTGCCTTGGGAGTAGCAAAACTGCCTCAGAATCCTCCAAATCCATTGAGGTTGAGAATGAAGTTTATGCTGTTTAACCTCAAGGAATTCATCAAAAAAAGATTCACTGATGTTGAAGCATATCATGACAGTGTGTGCTCCGTGCATCATCAATCATCATCCTGAACTGCTGTGCTCCACATCACAGCACAAACTTGATCTAGAACTATTTGAAGTTATCAGCGTAATTTTATGGTAAACGCTGCAAAAACTACGGTTTTATGTTGAATTTTCTCTAAAACCAATCCAGATGTGTGGTTTATATCACCATTGTTGCCATATCAAAGTATCAAATCCTCATTTTGTAAACGCGATCCTCCCTGCTTTAAAGATCTTTAACGCCAGACCCAGTGACAATCGTATGGATCCTGTGCCACAGCGTGCACGGTGCATCCAGCTGCCTGGACTGAACACGAGCGGCAGACGTCGCATTCCACCTGGCAGCTGACAATAGAACGGGATCAAGTCATCATCCCATCATCATATCCCGGATCATCAGGTGACGGTGGTTTTGAGTTTTGATGTTAGTTTTGATGTTAGTTTTGAATCAATTTTAATCATACCAATATCACGTATGATTCTGTATGATGTCCGGACAAGGAGGTGCCTGAATGGAGCTGTAAGCGAGCTCACAAGCGTTCTCGTGAACTCCAAACTTGTGCTTGCTGGCCCAGTCGATCCGCTCCTATCGTGGGAAAAAATGCATTTTGGAGATCTTGGATGGGATAGGACCGAGGGGATTGAACATCTGCCTGGCCAACCCCAGAAGTGAATACAACATGACAAATATCATACAAATATCATACAACTCCATCTTCAAGAAAATCGTTGATGACAAATCCAAGCGTTACAGTTCCACTGACTCATCAAAGAGGCACAAAAACCCAGTTGCCCACCAATCTCCTGGCAGGTACGAGACTCACCGTTGACAATGCAGTCAGTTGCGCAGCCCTTCGGTGACAAAGTCGTGGCTGCACAGCCCTTCTGAAAATTGCCACAGCACCAGTCCCTCTTATCAGAGGACCTCGGGAATCTGTCAGCCATCCATACTGTTCAAGTGGGCACATCATGTCGATGAATAACCACTACTAAAACCTACTAAACATGTGCAAGTGCATGCAAGCGCATGCCAGCGCACCACATGATCCGCATGCATATTGTTGAGAAATATCACTGCGAGATGTCTAGACACGGAGATGGAGAGAAGCCATCAAAAAGCAAACATGGAAAAACTCAAGAACCACTTTGAGCACTGATCTTTCAGCAAAAAGTGCCTCATCCAAATACCGAACCTGAACCAATTCATGGGATGTGAACCTGTTGCTATGAAGCTCTTGGGACGCCGGGCCAACTACCAACATCTTTGTGGTCACAATGGAACTTCACACAGCCCCTTTGCTCCTGACACAAGCAGCGCTTCTCATGTCTCCAGGCATGGAATTGTCATCCGATGCGGCAAGCAGTCATCAACAATCATCGATATGATCTGATGATTAGAAATGGAGAAGAGTCAGACACTCATCATCCATAAAAAATCCATCACCATTTCGAGGGGACGCCGGTCATTTTACAACACAACTCCATCAGGCACCGAATTTTCATCGCCCAAATTCTGCGCACCGCAGCCGAAAGAAAAAGATGATTCAGGACCGCTCTTTTGGGACTCTTACACCATATTTGTTGATACGATTTTTTTGTCAGTGGATATATCGAATTATTGTTTCATGTTCGCGTAAGGTTTTTGAATATATTTCAGGTTGGCTTAAGGTTTTTTATTTACGGTTGGTTGAAGGTTTGTCTGTGATTGAGGGTTTATTTAAGTTTGGTTAAGCTTTATTTTGGGTTTGTTCAAGTTGGTTTAGGGTTTATTGAGCTTTGCTTTACAATTGGACCAAAGTTGACCTCCATCCACAATGTGTTTGGCATGTGGGCACTCTACGTCTAAGAACGGCGTCATTTAGTCAGATGGTAGCGTGCTTGTGCAAGTTGCCATGGGCCATGCCTGCTAAATGTCGGCTGGTTTATCGGCCGCCGCAAGTCCAAGTAAAGAACGCGGTGATACACTCACACACGGCATGTACCACACAAAGTTGATCAACCACGGCTGGCAAAACACAAGCGTTGCAAGCAAATATCATGCATCCACACTCTCATCATTTATCACTACAGATGTCACAACAACCCACTACCTTCCACACGGATTTTGGTATTAAGCTTTGCGCAGCTCATTTTTAGTTAAACGTGCAGAAGCTGACTTTCACAGCAGAAGCTGACTCTCACTTACATAACATAATTCACATCTTGGAGCTGTGCCTTTTAGACAAACAACACTTCTAAGCAGAAGTGATACTTTTTTCTAACACAACTCACACCTAACACCACCCTGCCTTTAGATGAGCACATATTGAAAGAATATCAAGCATCACCTCATATAATATGAATACACTTCGTGTCGCACAAGTGCCGTAAGGCCTAAAAATGCAGGGTTGCTTTAGAGCTGCTGTTAGGATCATTAGAATTGGCTTAGAGCTGGTTTTAGGGTTTATTGAGGGCTCTTTAAAGGTTTAATTTAGGGTTTATTCACAACTCATTTCGGTTGTATTTAGGTTTATGCCGCAAAACGGAAAAATGTAGAAGTTAAAACGAGAAACCAAGAAACTACAGGTAAAAAAACAGACCCAGAAGCCAAGAAACCGAGAAATGAGAAACCCAGAAACCAAGAGACCCGGAAACCAAGAAACCTATAGAGCCAAGAAACTCAGAAACTTATAGACCCAGAAATTGAGAAACCCAAAAACCGAGAAACCCAGAAAACAAGAGACCCAAAAAGCAAGAAACCCAGAAACCAGGGAAGCGGATGTTAGAACCATGGCACGTTGCAAAATGAACGAAATCCTGCGTCGCAAAATGAAGTTTTCCTCGCGTTGAAAAATGACCCCCCCTTCCATTTCGTACCCCTCAATAAGAATCACTAAGAATACAGTACCCATCATTGATGACTAAAGATCATTACCCCTCAACCAACTGGACAACTGCTTAAGTAGCCCCACAAAGGCCGCTGTTCGAAAACGTCCTTGTCGCAGCACCAGGTCTTCTTTGAATCTGACCATCCGTGAAGCCAATTGGAGAAACCGGCCTGGAAGTTGCCGCCGATCTCGGAGCGTCCCGTTGTTCATAGCATGTTAAACTAATTCCAGATGTCTACAAATTGGATCACAAGGATTCCTTGCTGAGGCTTGGATCATTCCAAGCTTTGTGAGTATCAGACTGTGTCGAATCAAGAAGCTTCCCGCCTTGCAGTCGTAGATGTGTCCAGTCGCATGACCTTACACAAAGCACAGCGAAGTTGTGCAAGGAGAATCAATAACTCCATCACGAAGGTCATATCTGGTCATCATGCTCCGTCGTCCCAACTCCCACAGGTTGTGCTTCTGAATCCTATCACGGTGCTCAAAACTGTTTATGGATGCACACGTGTACATGTGTGAATATGTGCGAATATATCTATGCATATATATATATAATGTATAGGTATATTACACATATACAGTACACACACACACAAACATGTTTTTCGCATCTGAGCTTTTGTATAATAACAACAACATGCAACAACACACAGACAAGGTTCGGGCTTGGGTACAGTACTTGTATGGGCATCTTTGTGTGTCCAAGATGTCTGATGTTCACCCAGTTCTTTCATCTTTGATGCCTCTGTAGTCACTCTTCTTCCATCCCAGCGACCAACATGTTCCATATGAAATTCGCCGTGGCCATGCATGAAGCCATGCCAGGTTCCAGGGCAGCCAATCTTTGCCTGGAAGATTGGCTGCGAGTTGGGAGCTGCGAGTTGGGAATGCAACCCAAGGACTACAGATATGACGACACTACAAACAAACCAACCATGTGGCATATAGAAACGAAACAATTGCGTCACTTCCTGGCTCTTTGCCGAATCTGTGCTGGACATTGCTGGACTATCCGACTATCACAGGCACTGGCAAAAGTCTGGAGGCAGCCACCTTGTCGCAGCAATAGGTTTTCTTGTAGGTGGACCAGCCATAGTACCAGTTGGATTTTCCTCAGCTGAACTGCGGATGATGACCCTGGAATCCATGGAAGGGCTCCTTTCATTCCTTTCATCTCTGGAAGTTCACTTCAAGGAACCACTGTTGCAATCAATGGCAAGCTTTTGGTGGATGGTGATGTCCTTGTAGATGATCTTTGGTGGCAAATGCACCTGGCACAGACAGTGGCAGATTTAAGGCACGTTCAAACTCGTCAAGGCATCATGGACAGCATCTATCCAATATAAATGGGTATATCGTAGTACATAGATGTAATATTGAAATGCGTATAGGACTAATTATATACATGGGATTACATGGGTATAAATGGTATCTGATAGCCGAAAGCTTCACACATATCTCCCAACTGCTCTCCACAGCTATTCCTGACCTTCCTTGGCACAATTTTGGTGTGGTAGATGGTCTTGGTGTGATAGACCTGCAGGAGATTTCCAGCGCAGGAGCGCCAGACCATAACTGAAAAAATGCCCCAATCCCATTTAAAATGGGTTGCCCCGTAAATCCCTGATTTATTTATGTTTATATTTATACATATATATGTATATATATATATACAAATATATAATGTTCATGTTGGTGTATCGTCATGTTCCCTATCGTTTGATGGTCATTTTGAGAGGCAAAAACACCCATAAAAATGGCCAAGGAGCGGTGTGGGAGTGCGGGCATCCAACTTTGGTCTTCCAGCAGCAGTAGAGGCGCTTGGAATGCGACCAAACGTCCTGGAGGGAATAGCACTGATATAGTTGGAATGGGTATATGAATGCCTAGGGAAGTTGGTATATCATGGGTATATTGTATAGAATATATAATGGGTATATATTGAGTATGTAGTACCTTATCATGGGATAGTGGATTTATGGCCATTCCAGTAGGGGGGAATCTAATCCAACTCTTGACCAGCTGCTGATGCTTGGTCACCGGGTCACCGTCCCAGTCCTGCCAGCTGTGCAGGCCTTCTTTGCAATCATAAGGGTGTGACATGACCTGCCACTCAACAAAGCATGTGAACGGCGTGATTTTGGGCTCTTTTTTGAAGCCGATGTTGGCTTGGGATGTTAGATACAGTAGTGGAGGAGTTGTTGCCTTTGAAGTAGAAGCTTACCAAAGGCAGCCTTCCACACTTTTTCCAACGGGACTGACCATGAGAATATGGAATGTCCAAACGTTTACATCCAAGAGATTTCAAGCACGATAGGCCAGCGTGTCAAAATCCTTGTCCTCTTACAGAATATGTGTAAGTACATTGAGTTCGACTGGTAGATGTTTAATCTGGTTTCCCATGTTCGTGTGATTTTAGGCTCCTGACATCTCCTCACAACTATTGCAGCTGGTCTGATCCGTTTAAGTGCTTAAATGGCACCAAGTGGTACTATCATGTCATGATTCGGGCTGCCTTCACTTTCTTGTAAACAATCTTGGGAGGGCTTGGCACAGGTACCTTCACCTTCACGATTTTGGTCCTGGGACACCAGCCCGCAAATCATTTCACAAGCGTTGCCTCATTGATGCACAAAAAAGGTTCCAATTGCAAATGTAATTGTTGCCTCTCCACTGTCCTCAAACATTGCAATTGGAAATCGATGGAAATCCACTATAAATGAATGGCTTATAGCTGGGAAAAGTCAGCATAATCAACTCTCAAGGGGAGATTGCCGTCCAGCCGTACCGGAACCCCTGGTAACCCACGGTAGACTCAGACATGGGCCCGTCCTTTTGACCGGCACAGGGATCTTCTCGGTCTTGTGCACAACTACTGGGACGGGCACTCGCTTGTTGTACTTGATCACCTGGAACGGTGGACGTTTTAATGGATTAAACCAACCATTTGATTATTGGGACATGGCAGTGTGTCAAAACCTTGTACCCCTGGTGAACCTCAAAATAGCTCGTAAATGGATGTTCATTCCCCTAAAAATGGTATTAATAGGTATTGATCCATACCCACATTGACATAAATACACAGGATATAATGGGGATAGTTGATGCGATACAAGTTAAATCAGTTAACCACCAATGTGATCTGGGTCTGTCTGACAATGAGGTATACCATGGTATACCGAAAACTCACCAAATGTAGCTGGGCAAATGATGGAAGGACACACTCACCTCACTCATCTCAGAGCACCCGACATGGTGCCATAGGGGCAGTTATGCTTCATGCTGGGGAACTCTCAGTTTTCAGCACTGCTGAAGATGCTTTGTAATTTCCAAGGTAGGATCTACACCCGCTACACTACATGATACTACACGTACAAATACGTACAATGTACGTGTAGTGGTTGAAGCATGTCGGATTGCCTCGAAATTTAAGTTTGTCATCATGTTCATCCAATTTCACCATTAAAGTTGTGATCAAACGGATTATCCAAATTATTTTTGACCACAAACCCCCCCTGGGCGTTTCATTTTCTCACCTTGGTGATGACCTTTGGCTCTGGTGGCGTTCCTGGCACTGGATATGGCACCTGCCAGGGAACGTTGTCGCTGTCATCGTCTATATGTATGTGCTGAAGGTGGATAGATGGATAGGTGGGTGGCTGGATGGCTGGATGGGTGGATGGATGGACAACTAGGATTAGATTATATATATATAGTATAATATAGTTTAGTTTAGATATTAGATCAGATTAGACTAGTTTCAACTCGATTTGGATTGCATTAGATTGGGACAGGTAGGGAAAAAATCAAAAATAGCTCATCACATGGAGGTTTACTGAAATATGGGTACCCCCAAATCATCCATTTGAATGATATTTTCCACAATTCATAAACAAACCATTTGGGGGTACCACCATCTAAGGAAACCCTCATATGAGCCATGGTCAATACTCACTATATGGTTGATGGTCATCCCATCCATAATAAGGATCCTTATAATGGTTATTATAAATCCCATCCTGAACCATTGGATGACTAGCCCCGTTTTTAATGGTTATTAACCATGAGTATTGACCACAGCTCATATGCACATATCATACATGCGTCATACGTCGTCAGATGTGTCCCGGGCCTTCACCACCTTGCGAGGGGGTGGAGGCAGGTGCACCGGTACCTTGATGACCTGCGGACGGATGTGACTCAACAAGAATTGTGTTTCTTTTCATCCAGAAAAATGTGAAAAATAGGAACAGCTGAGACATCTATAGCTTAGATATCTATCGAATTCTATAGATCTCTGTTCAATTCTGTTCATAACTGTTCATCAACAATCACCGAGATATCACAGAGACAGAGTCCTGCCTCTGGTGCAGGTGGTGGCAAATGTATGGGGATAGGTTTTGGCACAGGCACTGGCACGTTCTTGTTCTGCACCACGGTGTGGTAGCGGACATGCCTTGGGTTGCCCCCAGAAAGGGCGATAGATCAAGGATCAAGGTTAGATTCCCCGAAACTAGCTTTGCAACGTCCATGATACATGGCACGCAATGCCCCTGACAGTCTATAGAGTCTTGCGATCTGAAGTACACTCCGTACTCCGAATGCGTTCCGATGGGTTCACATATGTTCTATTTCTACTGCGTTCTCATGCATTTTGATTCGCTCCAATTCTATCTTTGGCCACAGTGCTGGATAGTCTTGGATTGACAAGCACGGCTGAACTTGTAGCAGCAGTACTTCTTCTGATCTGGCGTCCAGAGACTCTTCCAGTTGTGATAGCCGCTGAAGCAGTTGTACAATGGCTCTGCCGGCTCGGTCAGCGTCTTGTGAATCGTGGGGCCGGGAATATGCACGGGATCATGGACCACATGGGTCTTGGTCTTCACGGAGTAGAAATTCTTTTCGATGATGTGCTTGGGATGCGCGTAAATCACATGGGTTTTGTCATGGACGTGATAGATCTTGCCGGGATGCACCGACACCCAAGCGCCATGATGATCATAGTGGCCATAGTGTCCGTGAACCCAGGCATCATGATAGGCGTGTCCAGGATGCACAGAGATCCAATGGCCATGATCATAGTGACCATAATGGCCATGAATCCAAGCATCGTGATACAAGGACGAGCCTTCGGCTGGGTGATGAACTTCAATCCAACCACCATGCTGGTCATAGTGACCGTAGTGATCAGCACCATCCTGATGAATCCAGGCGTCATGATAAGCCATGGAGCCAGAAGGGTGATGCACTTCAATCCAAGCACCACTATGGTCATAGTGGCCCCAGTGTCCACCTACCCAAGCGTCATGAGGGTAGGAGCTGGAAACGAAGCTTCCACTGTGGTCATAGTGTCCATAATGGTGACCATACCAGGCATCGTAGGGAAATTTCGAGTCCACCCACGTTCCAGCATGGTTGTAGTGTCCATAGTGCCCATGGTGCCAAGTGAAATGAATACCGCTGTGATGACCACCCTCAAAGTCTCCGCCACCTTCGATGCCATCAGGACCCACGATTTCTCCGCCATCCTCGGTTCCATCAGGACCCACGATTTCTCCACCACCTTCGATGCCATCAGGACCCACGATTTCTCCGCCATCCTCGGTTCCATCAGGACCCACGATTTCTCCACCACCTTCAATGCCATCAGGACCCACCATTTCTCCGCCACCTTCGATGCCATCAGGACCCACCATTTCTCCACCACCTTCGATGCCATCAGGACCCACGATTTCTCCGCCATCCTCGGTTCCATCAGGACCCACGATTTCTCCACCACCTTCGATGCCATCAGGACCCACGATTTCTCCGCCATCCTCGGTTCCATCAGGACCCACGATTTCTCTGAAGGTGCCATCAGGACCCACCATTTCTCCGCTACCTTCGATGCCATCAGGACCCACCATTTCTCCGCCACCTTCGATGCCATCAGGACCCACCATTTCTCCACCACCTTCGATGCCATCAGGACCCACCATTTCTCCGCCACCTTCGATGCCATCAGGTTCTGAGACGCCCACCATTTCTCCGCCACCTTCGATGCCATCAGGTTCTGAGACACCCACCATTTCTCCGCCACCTTCGACGCCATCAGGACCCACCATTTCTCCGCCTTCGATGGATCCTTCACCACCTTCCACGGGTGCTTCACTCGCAGATTCTTCCTGCAATCTTCTTCCCTCAGTGTCGCGGTGCTTTTGCGGCTGTGTTGCTGAAGATCTAGCCTTGATCTTTTTATCTACAGTAGTTGCTAGTTCCCTCTTACCTGACCCTAGCACCCAACTTGAGGCCAAGGGGTAAGTGACAAAAGCTAGCTTGGCAGGGAGCTTGGCATGGAAACACCCTATATATATATATATGTATATATATACACACACACTATACTTGCAAAATCATCTGTATATAATGATTAAGGGATATTATGTCCAAGACAACGCTTCCATGTCTTGGAACGGGAATGAACGGGACACATTTAAGGAGGATCTATGTCACATATGAAGAGAACACGAATATATCACGTGCGTGAACATAGTGAGGAAACTCCCACTCACTAGCGTGGCGGTCACTAAACACGAAGAAGATTCAAGGGTCCACCTTCAGCATCGGAGTCGGGGTAGGATGTCATGAGGACAAAAAGCGGAAGCATGCCCGGAAGGATCTTTGCAAACTCATCTGCATGAAGGAGCGCTATTTCCAAGACAAGCTTGCCATTGTCAGAACTGACTGGAAACTACATGTGAAGGTTCAAAAAGAAAATGAAGCTACGTTTTAGGGCTCGCCATGAACATGCCGATAGTGAGCACGCCAATGATGCAACCAGCCAATGAGGGGAGGGAGGGGGTGAGTTAACTATGAAGTTTCATGGGATTGGAGATTCCTGTCCCCCAATACCTTGCTAAAGCCACAGGGACCTCAGCTAGCAGAAGCTAGCTGTCGTGAGGGATATCGTTACACAAAAAAAACTCAGCCAGCCCAAACCACATATGGGTGTGCTCATTTAGCCAAGGCCACTGGAAGGTCGGAGTCTTCAGAGTCTGCAGAGTCTTCGCTGTAGTGAACGGTACTGGTGGAACTTGGATGGTAATGGTAGTGATGCACGTGGACCACGTGCGTGCCATCGCCATAATGAATCCCATCACCATAATGGGTGCCATCGCCGTAATGGGTGCCATAGTGGTGCGTTGTGTAGCCAGTGTAGCCATGGTCGTAATGAGTGCTGTAGTGATGGCCGGAGTAGCCGTGATGATGTGTGTAGTAGGCTGAACCCTCATGCTGGGTCACGTGAGTCACTATGGTCTTGGTGAGCTGCCCAGAATGGTCGCCTGGACATATCATGTATCGCACTGGCATTCAAACGGGGTGAAGAAAAGCACAATGTGATAAGGTTTGATTTTTCATGAAGAATGAGGGTGTCTCATTGAGACATGTCCTCAAACTGGCTGCTGGAATAACAATCCTGCCTGGGCAGCCCTTGTTCTTGTGAGAGCAGCACCAGGACTTCTTCGCATGAGACCAGCCCTGCTGCCTTAGTCAGGTGAAAGCATCAAGTTGTATTTTGCTCAAAGCTGGAATCGCTATGAATCCCTCGGGTGATTTCCAGATCAGCAGTAGCAGTTGCCACACGCCCGGGCAATTTGCACCAAGGATCCAGTTGCTGAAGCCGGCACCGCAGTCATAAATGTGCAGCATCTTCACATGCCGAGTCCTGTAGATCACCTCAACAATTGACATGATGTTGACTTTGGAGGTACTCTGTTTTCGGGATATGACTGATAATCGCCGTGCTTATTGGTTCTCATACTTTCTGATTCATACCATTCTTGATTGTGCACATGAGTACTGCGGAAGTGAAAAAACAAACCCATGGATCTGCTCAACATGTGTATCCAAAGCATCACTTCAGCTTGTGGATACATGGAATAAATCTTGATTGAAACTGTGTGTCGTGGGAGTTCTGGTCAAGAATCCACCCTGCATAGACATACACTTGCACATAGAATTAAACAATACTTGAACCATGTATATATATATATGCGTGATTGATGTCTATACATATATATATAAATATACATGTATATATATATATACATATATGTCCATATATATATATGTGTATATATATATATATGTCTATATATATATATCTATATATATATGTCTATATATATACATATATATATATAAGTCTATATATATATGTGTCTATATATATGTCTATATGTATATATATATGTCTATATATATATATGTGTGTGTCTATATATATACATATATATATATAAGTCTATATATATATATGTGTGTGTGTCTATATATATATATCTATATGTATATATATATATGTCTATATTCTATATATAAATGTTTGTATATATATATATCTATATTTATATACATATGTGTATGTAAATATAAATGTGTATATATATATGTCTATATATTTAAATATGTCTATATATATATGTGTATATGTCTTTATTTATATATATATATATATGTATGTATGTATACACGTGTGTGTATACATTTATGTCTATATATGTATATATGTCTATATATGTATACATATATATATGTCTATACATATTACGTCTATATGTATATGTCTATATATATATATGTGTGTGTGTGCATATGTGTGTGTGTGCGCCTATTAATGTATATATGCATATGTATATATGTATGTGTATATATATATGTGTGTATATGTCTATAAAAATATGTCTATAGATATGTATATATATATATATGCACGTCTTTATATATATATATGTGTGTGTCTACATATATATATATATATATATGTCTATATGAATATTTGTCTATATATATATGTCTTTATATATATATATGTCTGTAAAAAAATATATATGTGTGTATATATATATTTATATATATCTACATATGTCTATATATATATATATGTCTACATATATATATAGATATATATATATGTCTATATATATATATGTCTATAGATATATATATATGTCTATAGATATATATATATATATGTATGTCTATATATATATGTATGTCTATATAGATATATATATATATATGTCTATAGATATATATATATATATCTATAGATATATATATATATAAACACATATATATACATATATGTATATATATATATATGTCTATATATATATATTGTATATATGCCTATGCCTATATATATATACATAACTGTATATCATGCATATATATATATTATATCTATGTCCACATGTCTTGATTTTAACGCCCTGTTTGGAATCTCCCAGGCCCACCTTGTTCTTGACAATGGTCTGCGGAGGCAAAGGCACGGGGACCTTGATCACCTCAGGCCAATGACTTGGAAAAGAATGAAAAATGATGAAACATTATGAAACATGAGGTCTAAACCAGCATCCTATACCACCATAGACCATGATTTGGAGCTCCATGCTTGCTGCGTCCCCCTCAACCTGACACCCCGCCTTGCCGGGCTCCTTGACAGGCACAGGCACTGGGATCTTGTGGTAGGTTGGTGGGCTAGGCTCTGGCACAGGCACGTAGCGCTTCTTGTGAATGTACTTTGGCACCTCGCTGGACGAGACAATGTCAAGACTGGGATCTGGATACATCTGGGAGAAACGATTCCACTTCCACAATGGTTCCACGGTGTTCCACATCTACCCCACACAACGATCGTAATGAGAATGACGCTCCCCTGCGAGCATATGAGCATCCAAGAGACCATATGAGGATGGCCTGGCACGGGGACCTTGATCACCTTTGGCGGATCCTTGGTTGAAAGATTTTGAAAGTTGAAAGGTGTGTGTTGTTGAGGAACCTGATCCTACTATGTAGATCTATATAGATCTACTAGCAAGTCTCTTTGGCACCAAAAAGAAATGTGTCCATCAACTACAAACGCATCAAAGTGCCAAAAGCATGATCCCAAACTGCTGCTGTTGCAGAGTTTGAGAATGTTCGAGAGACCCAATCCAAGAACAATCAGCAAGTTGACTCCAGCAACCAGGCTTTGCTTTCTCCCAGGAAAAAAAAAAACAAATTGAATTGTGCTGCCCCGTCATGACGAGCGTCGTGGACGGGGACATTCACGACGTGGTTGATAACTTTGGCTGGCGGTGCAGGGATTGGCACATGGACTGGCACCGTGACATGCTTGATGTGCGTGATGGTGTGGTAATGTGGCCTCAGAGAGCAAACGATGTGTGCGGAAGTGCCACTGGTTCAAAGTTGCTGTTCCAAGTCGAGCCAAGCAAAGAAGCCAATTCATCCCTACAGACACTTCTGTTTGTTTGCAATATATATATATATAATTGATACTGAATGTGTGTGTGTGTATGTGTGCGGGCACATGAAAACTGTGACACTGATGTATATTTGCATCATCATCGCTCCGCTGTCTTCGTTATCTTCCCTATCTCCGCCATCATCCTTTATCCAGAATGCAGGATCTGTCATCCGCGCCATCATTCATCCATCACCCCCCTCCCATTGGAAACAGATCTGCTTGACCAAAAACTATTACATCTTCACTTTGCCATGCCGACCGCGACTCTATCATCTTCCAAGTGGCCTGTAAGTCACCTGCTCAGGAACTAAGCTGATCTCTCTCTCTCTCTTTTTCTCTGAAAAGAAAAGGTGAACTACAGTAAATCCACAAATGAGGAAGAGTCAGTCCTCCTCCCTGCCTAATCCACACAGAGATGTGCTGATTCCCACTGTCCGCGGTGGGGTTTCGATGATGTATAAAAAAATGTGGCCGGTACTCTCGTGCTACACATAGCAAACCGCAGTCCCATGTGCTCCCATGTCCTACTCCATCCTACTCCTTTTGCCATCACTGGATGTATTTCATGCTTCATCTGCTTCAACTATGACATGTCCAACTTCGGAGTGGAGTTTCCGCCTTGGTGTGGCACCCAATCATCCTCTTGTAGCAGCAATATCGCTGCTTGTCCCTGGTCCAAATGTGCATGAAGTCATTCACGCCTGGTGCAGCAGAATCCGCGATTGCGCCATGCTGGTAGTGTATAGCATTTGCAAAATCACATCGTCAAGCACAGAGACCTTGTCACCATGTTTTTCTCTCAAAACTGAGTTCAGGATCGCTCACTTGTCTAGATGCTGATTTCACCCACCTGAGTCGCAGTTGTAGGGGTGAGTGTGTACCATCACCTTGTGCCTTAGATGTAGCGTCGGCACTCAAGCTCAGGAAGGGAAAAGAAGTGGCAATCCCTATATATTCGTCACATACATACAGAGTATAGTAATGATTAGTAATGCACATTTTCGGCTCCAGATCTCAGTCGGTGATCTGGCGCTTGCGGTTGAGGTCTGGCAGTGCCCATGTCAGAGAGAATATCAGAATAGATACCAGGTAGAATACCAGACAGAATGGCAAATAGAATGCCAGATAGAATGTCGGAATTGACGCCAGATAGAATGCCAGAAAGAATGTCAGAATATGTCAGAATAGATGCCAAATAGAATGTCAGAAAAAATGTCGGAATAGATACAGTATGCCATAAATACTTCCAGATGGTATGTCAGAAACTATGTCAGAATAGTGTGTAAGGGTGGGGATCACTCGAAGAAAGTAACTGGTGAGTGTATCATTGTTTTGCATGTCTCAGCTCGATTTTCCCTCTCAAAGGTTACTCTTCACTTCAGCCAATTGTGACTGCAGCCCATATAGAAAAGTATGTGAATCTAGTCAGGAGTTCGAAGATTCTTGCGCGGCTATTGGTTTGTGAAGAGATTTCGCAAAATGTGGATTGGTAAGGATGGGCACACCTACAACGGCTTGTCACCCCTGTAACAGCAATCTATCTCGAACAATCGGAAAGAAGGTTTGGATTGGCATTGCAAGACCAATCGATATGCCGTGCCCTTTTGGTTCTTCCAAAGACTTGACTCCAACATGGCAATTTAGAACAAATACTTTGGTATAGGGGATACTATCGCTGTACCAACCCAAACTTGCGCACTCTGCTTCCATGTCGCGTGATCACTTGGCGTGGAGGAGGAGGGATTGGAACTGGCACCATGTGAGGAACATGAACGTTCCTTGGCTCTGCAAGGTGACTCTATATCAGTGCGCCTCTGAAACCTCCACGAATGGGCCTACTATGGGATCAAGAAATGGACCTAACATGTTTGAGTCTGTCGCATTGTATCCTCGTGTCCAATCAAATCTGCCAGCCAAGACGCTTCACCTGCGTGTAGTACCTTGCAGCAGTTGCGCGTAAAAAAATGCCCTTGCGGTTGCTTGGTGAAAAATGGTGAAATTTGTGATGAAGTCACGGCAATTTCACCCAGTACCATATTTCACCATCATATATTATTTTCTGGTAATATAATATATATATATTATATTATATTATATATTATATCTATTATCTATATAATATATAAAATATATATATAATATATAATATATATATAATATATATAATATATATAATATATATAATATATATAATATATATAATATATATAATATATATAATATATAATATATATATATTATATATAATATATATAATATACATAATATATATAATATATATAATATATAATATATATATAATATATATAATATATATAATATATATAATATATATAATATATATAATATATATAATATATAGAATATATATAATATAGAATATATATAATATATATAATATATATAATATATATAATATATATAATATATATAATGTTTATAATATTTATAATATATATAATATATATAATATATATAATATATATAATATATATAATATATAGAATATATATAATATATATTCTATATATAATATATATAATATAATATATATATATAATTTCATATATATTATATAATATATATATAATTTCATATATATAATATATATAATATATTATATATAATATTTATAATGTATATAATATATATATAATATATATATATAATATATATATTATATATAATATATATAATATATCTAATATATATAATATATATAATATATAGAATATATATATATATAATATATATAATATATATTCTATATATAATATATAATATTTAATATATAATATATATAATATACACAATATATATATATTACTGTATATATATATATATGATAAATTAATGGTCCACGGCCCAAAGACCTTGTCATATCCTGTCTATCTGATTTTCTCCTGCGTTGAGATCTACAGCAGCCCTAGACCCTGCTCTCGGAGCACTTGTCGTGGACCACCAACTTTTCCGGAGCAGGTGTGTGTGGTGCTTGTCCGCAGAAGTTGGTGTAGCCCTGCAAGGATGACCAAATCTCTGTAGATGCTGATGTTCAAAATCATCCAAATGGGATATTCATCAACCCAGGTCTTGAAGAATTGGTCTGGACATGATTGGTCAAGAACTTCTTCCTCCCATTGGATTTTGCATACTCCTGTGAGACCTAGCATGAACTGAAATGATTGAAATGAGTTCCCTACTATTTCAAAATATATTTGCACCCCAAATTTGACTCATGTTCATTTTTCTTTCCCATCCACTTGGTTTTCTCTAAAACTAGGTGCCGGGTCTCCGAGAGGCTCACAACTCTTGTCACTTTTCAAACGTTCTATAGGGGGAACTGACAAGGAGCAAAACAAAAAAAACAAAACTCTGGTTGCATCAACACATTCATCATGATCATCAGCAGCAGTAGCAGCAGCAGCAGCGGCATCATCATCTCATCATCATCATCAGCAGCAGCACCACCACCACCCTCATCATCATCATCATCACCATCATCACCATCATCGTTCAGCAGCAGCAGCATCATCGTCCTCTTCATCTTCATCTTCATCTTAACTTTCATGTGTGCAATTGCAAGAGAACGTAGAACAGCATGCACGTGTGAAGATGCAAAAGAACGTACAGCAGCTTAGCATGACGTGTGTGTGTGTGCAAGTGCAAGAGAACATACAGCACCGTAGCATGACGTATGCGTGCAAGTGCAAGAGAACGCACAGCAGCATAGCATGACAGCTTAGCATGACGTGCGTGTGCAAGTGCAAGAGAACATACAGCACCGTAGCATGACGTATGCGTGCAAGTGCAAGAGAACGCACAGCAGCATAGCATGACGTATGAGTGCAAGTGCAAGCGAACAAACAGACAGCAGCATAGCATGACGTATGTGTGCAAGTGCAAGCGAGCATAAAGCAGCGTGGCATGACGTATGTGTCCAAGTGCACCACAACATACAGCACATGGCATGACGTATGTGTGCAAGTGCAAGAGAATGTACAGCAGCGTGGCATGACGTATGTGTGCAAGTGCAAGAGAACATACAGCAGCATAGCACGACGTATGTGTGCAAGCAAGGGAACATAGAGCAGCGCGGCGTGACGTATGTGTGCAAGTGCAAGACAACATACAGCAGCGTGACATGACGTATGTGTGCAAGTGCAAGACGACATACAGCAGCGTAGCATGACGTATGTGTGCAAGTCAGAGAACGTACAGCAGCTTAGCATGACGTATGTGTGCAAGTGCAAGAGAACGTACAGCAGCATAGCACGACGTATATGTGCAAGTCCAAGGGAAAATAGAGCAGCGTGGCGTGACGCATGTGTGCAAGTGCAAGAGAACCTACAGCAGCCTAGCATGACGTATGTGTGCAAGTGCAAGCGAACATACAGCAGCGTGGCATGACGTATGTGTGCAAGCGCAAGACAACATACAGC